AACGATGACACAAACAACAACATTGACATAATGAGAGAATTGAGTAGTCGAGTAACGAAAATGTCGGAAACCATGTATTAATGTTATCATTTCTCTTAATTTAATGATATTATAATTGAAAAAGTCATTGGAAAACGTGTGGTAATGGATGGATATACAAGTGTGTGTGTGTTTTGTGAAAGCTTTGATGGAAAATAATGAAATCCCATGAAATTAGTAATTTACAGTGTAATATTATTTTAATAAATGGATAGGTGAAGAAGGACTATTATAAAATAAAAGAGATTATCAAATAAACGACAATTGAACTTTTTATATATAAATATACAAAAGATTATAGTATATGCATATACCCATTTGTATGAAATCAATCCATAGCCATTAGAAATGATATGTTTAGTAAACTCTTGTAAGCCTCTATAAAGTCGCAAAAAATATATTTCGAAAATCGAAGATTGTGGTGATTGGTTGAAAAGTTTTTGCTTTTAAATAAGTCCTGATTTAGATTAGGCGAGTTTACTTGAGGCAATTATTATCGTTCTCTTTTGAACTTGCTTCATGCGTCTATACAAGGCAATTCGGTTTCAAAAATATTTCTTTTTTGACAATATTCTTGATTGGTATTTCAAATTACTGACACTACAAACCAAATACACAAAACGAATTGCCAGAAAATTGTCGGTACGAGCTATTTTTTCAATTTCTATTCCCCTTGCCCCTCTCTCCAGCAAACAAAGACTTGCCGCAAGTAAACTCGCCTAATCTAAATTCAGACTAAATACACAACTTTTGTTTTGTTATATATATATCATAAAGTAAGGAAAGTAGTAAAGTCGGACTGGGCCGACTATATGATACTCTTCACCACTATGAATATATTCTACATATGTATCCTAACAGACGTCGCCTTTTCGAAGGAACATTGGCATGAAATTGAACGAACTTAAATTAAATCTAATCCGATTTTCTCGAAGCTTAACACACGAGGTATGGTAGGGACAGATTTCCATCTCAAAGGCACGAAAATTCCCATGAACATGCAGAACAACAACATGAAGTGTAAATAGATATGCAGAAAAACCACAATATTTCTGTAAATACACTTGTCATGAGCGAACAAATATATTAAAGAGTTTGTTAGAAATACATCAACGCACAAAACATTCAATTATAGTAACTTCAGTATATTGTACAAAATTGTGTGCCGATCGGCCAAACTTTGGGTCTTTAGTGGCTTACGTTTGTCTGTGGCTTGTTGAAGTTCTCTGATCTGAACCGATTTTCAATGAACTTCGCACACATCATTCTGGACCTAATTCAGTACCCTATGCCAAATTTCGTGCAAATCGAAAGATATATAGGGACTTTGGAGACCCATTTCTCTTAAATCGGACGAAAATATATATGGGAGCTATATCTAAATCTGAACCGATTTTCACGAAACTTTGCACACATCATTCTAGACCTAATTCAATACGCTGTGTGAAATTTCATGCTAATCGAAAGATATGTGGGGACTTTGGTGCCCCATTTACATTAAATCGGACGAAAATATATATAGGAGCTATATCTAAATCTGAACCGATTTTCTCGAATCGGTTCAAATCTAGCCTCAATACAGTACCCTATGCTAAATTTCGTGCAAATCGAAAGTTATATAGGGACTTTGGTGCACCATTTTCCTAAAATCGGACGAAAATATATATGGGAGCTAAATCTGACCCGATTTTCTCGAAACTTGACACATATCATTCTAACCTCAATTCAGTACCCTATGCTAAATTTCGTGCAAATCGAAAGATATATAAGGATATTGGTGCCCCATTCACCTTAAATCGGATGAAACTATATACGGGAGCTATATCTACATCTGAACCGATCAATTTAAATAGGGTTCGGCCTTGGGCCAAATAAGTGAGCTGCGCCAAATTTCATCCACACCGGATCATAAATGCGACCTGTACTTTGTTCCCAAAAATACATGGACAGACGGACATGCGTAAATCGACTCAGAAAGTGATTCTATGAATATTCTCAAAAGGAACCATGGGTCCATATCGATTCCTTTTGCATGTTACAAACATATGCACAAAGACATAATACCTTGTACCACAGTTTGGCGAACGGTATAAAATTAGTAGATTCTTGCAGTACGAGAACATACCACTTGGTAAGCCTTGAGAATATATTATTTGAAAAACTCCCCTTTTGTGTTTTTTTAAAGAAAAATTATTTTTCCAAAAAGGTAGTATCCAAAATAACCACCATACATGACTACAGCGGTTTAGGGCCAAACCATTCTATGTCAGTGCACTGTATTACCACAAACCGATAATACCGTAAAATTGATTTCGTGTGCGTCTTGTTAATGTTTACTATTCATCGCTAGATGGCGTCCCCACAGTTTTTACTGTCAAAAATCAATCGAAACTATTTACTTTGTCATAGTTCAGCAGATTACCGCAGAGGACACGAAAAAGTATTTGATTTCTTCCAGAATCTACATGAATTCTCTATTAACCGTAACTTGTTTCATATTTTTACTAATTTAAAAAAAACCTTAATAAGGGAACAAACTAAAATTAGTTTGTCGGTTTTTTCCACCTCAAAATATTTGCAGACTACCCCATACAGTATATATTTGGTCTGTTCCTGTATTGCAAGAATCTACTACTTTTTACTACGATAACGAATTTTCCTTTATGATATCGAAGAAAATAGTAAAATCTAGTAAATTCTTGCAGTACGGGAACGGACCAATTATGTTACAAGCATGGTTCAATAATACCATATAACGGTTTATTTATTTTTTTGTCTTTATTTACTTTTTAATTGAAGCCAAATTACAATTTAATGGCCAATTTATATTTCGGCACGCTTTTCAGCCAAATTAGCTGCAATTATGAATTTTTGCTCTTTTAATTAAAATGACCAATATATAGTATAATTTTTTTCTTTATTAACTCCTTTCCTTCCTGGCTCACGTCCTACTAGTATAAAGTTTGTTCCACAAAATCCCAAAATACCCAAATTTTACTTCGATAGCAATTTTTTAATTATTATATCGAAGACGTAGTAAACATGTGTAGATTACAAAACATATTCAATTTTCGGCATATTCCTCATACAAATCTTACGAGTAATTTTCCAACCTGACTATTTTTTTCTACTTTCAAATAAATATATTTAATATGTCGCCAATATGCTTTAATTACACTATTCGATAATTGATTATCGCCTCATATCGATATTATTACTCTCCCACTTCATCAATCAGCTGTTTATGTCATTCGCAAAGGCGTTTCTACACTACATCTCTTTTTTTACCGCTGCTGTCAGAAACATCGAACATTTCACAACAATCGGTATTTTCCAATCAGAGTTTATTTTATTGTAATTTTATAAATTAATTAATTGAAAGTGAGTAATGATTTTGATTAATTAAACAAAATCCCAATTCCCACACTCCGTAGATATCATCTTCATTGAATATTTGTGAAGCAAAAACGAACGGCGGAGTGAACCGAACCGAACTCTGTGTGTGCAAAAAAGTTAAATAACACCTCTACACTCTAGTGCGGCAGCCAGATTGGATTGCAAATTTTTGAAGAATGGCGCATCGACTGCTGAGCTCAGCAAAGGCCATGGAACGTTGCATGCGACGTACCTATATGAGCCAACATAATGCCACACCGGCAACAGAAAAGGTAAGTCATGCAGATGATGATGTTGTTGTGAAATAGAAAAGGTGATAATTGGTTTTGTTTCTTTTTTCGGGTAACAGATACAACGTGGAGCGGTGGCATTGGAACAGGTGCCTTTGATACGCTATTTAGTAGAACAGATTAGGCATTTCTGCAAGAAACCACCAAAGGGCTTTGAAAAATATTTCGAAGAGGGCAAGGCGGCTAAGCCGGCTGCCAGTGAGGCAGCTGCTGCAGCGGGGAAATCAGCAAAGCCTGCCGAACAGGCTGCAGCACCAAAGTCGGCATCACAACCAAAGAGTAATGAATGGAATTTCGGTATGTTCAACAATACCGCCAAACAGTCGGGAAGTGGTGGTGGCGGCAAGGGTGGCCAAGGTAGACCCATTGGCGATGGCGGTGATGGTAACCGCGAGAAAATGGTTATATTCGGTGCCCTGGCTGCTGTGGGTATAATTGCCACATTGGCATTCTTTGAAATGGGTTACAAAGAAATATCATGGAAAGAATTTGTTACAAGGTAGGTTCTACTCCCTTTTAGTAAAAAACATTTCATGTCATTTTTTCATCCTTCCAGTTACCTTAACCGTGGCATTGTGGAAAAACTAGAGGTGGTGAACAAGAAATGGGTACGTGTTCGTCTCTTGCCAGGCAATGCCCAAGATGCCAGTGGTGTATTGTGGTTCAACATTGGCAGTGTGGATTCATTTGAACGTAATCTAGAAAATGCCCAAGTGGAACAGGGCATAGAACCGGTGAATTTTGTTCCTGTTATTTATCGTACCGAAGTTGAGGCTTCCAGTTTAACTGGACTGTTGCCAACCTTGTTGATAATTGGTTTCCTAGTCTATATGATGCGTCGCTCTGCCGATATGATGGGCGGTAAGGGTCGTAAAGGTGGTGGTCTGTTTGGCGGTGTCATGCAGTCAACAGCCAAGCTCATTAATTCCAATGAAATTGGTGTACGATTCAAGTAAGTCGAATAGAAAATACATATATTTACACACTTAACCATAGGTTTTCCATTCTGTTCACACTACCTGGAAATATTATTCTTTTAAGAACTATAAACAGCCCATATAAAAGCCCATACAGGCTTGCCATTTTTAAAAATATTATTCAAAGCCCCAACATGTGTGGATTATTTAAAATAATAATTAAATAATTAAAATTATCAAATCAATCAAAAATTAATCAAAGCCCCACACTGTTGCGGATTTTTTGAAAATATTTTTTTTTCAAGATCCAACACATGCTTGGATATTTTTAAAATATTTTCTCAAGGTCGCAATACCGTTTTGTTTTTGAAAAATATTGTTTAAGGTCTCAATTACTACGATTACAAATTAAATTGTCTTTTCATTTCCTTTCAGGGATGTTGCCGGTTGTGAAGAAGCCAAAATCGAAATTATGGAATTTGTCAACTTCCTGAAGAATCCTCAAAAATATATCGATCTCGGTGCTAAGATCCCCAAAGGTGCCATGTTGACTGGTCCACCCGGTACCGGTAAAACTATGTTGGCCAAGGCCACTGCCGGTGAAGCCAATGTGCCTTTCATCACTGTCTCTGGTTCAGAGTTTTTGGAGATGTTTGTCGGTGTGGGTCCTTCACGTGTACGTGACATGTTCGCTATGGCTCGTAAAAATGCCCCTTGCATTCTGTTCATCGATGAAATTGATGCTGTCGGTCGTAAACGTGGTGGCAAATCATTTGGTGGCCATTCCGAACAGGAGAATACCTTGAATCAGCTGCTTGTCGAAATGGACGGTTTCAATACGACAACAAATGTTGTAGTGCTGGCCGCTACAAATCGTGTTGACATTTTGGATAAGGCCCTTTTGCGTCCCGGTCGTTTCGATAGGCAAATATTTGTACCAGCACCCGATATTAAGGGTAGAGCCAGTATTTTCAAGGTCCATTTGGGCCCATTGAAAACAGATTTGGATAAGACAGAATTGGCGCGTAAAATGGCAGCTCTAACACCAGGTTTTACTGGTGCCGATATTGCCAATGTCTGTAATGAAGCCGCCTTAATTGCGGCCAGAGATTCCAATGATTCCATTGTCCAAAAACATTTCGAACAGGCCATTGAACGTGTCATTGCTGGCATGGAAAAGAAAACAAATGTTTTGGCTCCCGAGGAGAAGAACACCGTGGCTCATCACGAGGCCGGTCATGCTGTAGCCGGTTGGTTCCTAGAACATGCAGATCCTTTACTGAAGGTGTCCATTATACCCAGAGGCAAGGGTTTGGGTTATGCCCAGTACTTACCCAAAGATCAATATTTACTCTCCAAGGAACAGCTATTCGATCGCATGTGTATGACATTGGGTGGTCGTGTGGCTGAGGAGCTATTCTTCCAACGCATCACAACTGGTGCCCAGGATGATTTAAAGAAAATCACCGACAGTGCTTATGCACAAATTGTTCGTTTCGGTATGAACGAGAAAGTGGGTCAGGTTAGCTTCGATGGCCAACAGGGTGAAATGAATTTCTCCAAACCCTATTCCGAAGAAACCGCCCAATTAATTGATCGTGAGGTACGTGCCCTCATCAAAGAGGCCCATGATCGTACAACAGCCCTGCTGACAAAACACAAAGAAGACGTCCGTAAAGTAGCCGAACGTCTGCTGAAGAATGAGGTACTCAGTCGTGACGATATGATTGAACTTTTGGGCAAACGTCCCTTCAAGGAGAAGTCCACCTATGAAGAATTCGTCGAAGGCACAGGTTCCTTTGAAGAGGATACCTCACTGCCGAAAGGCTTACAAGATTGGAATAAAGAACAAAATCCACCATCATCATCGTCGGAAACACCCTCGAAACCTGCAGCCACAACATCATAAATCTATGCTAATCCCATGTTTTTCTCGAGCTATACGAGTTATATAGCTTAGCAATTTAAATAAATCAATCAACAATTACTTTTGTTATCGACGTGTTTTTTTTAGTTTTGGATTAAAATTTATTGTTTTTTAATTAATTAATTATTACTATAAGCATTGTATTATTAGCTCTTTTGAAATATTTTGTCTACAAAACAACACATACACCCACATATTTATATTATTAAAAGCGATGTATGTCATAACAATGTTGTAACATGTACTTTAAACTTAAGAAGTTTACATAACATTAAACCATGAAAAACATCTGTAAGAAGTCCTCAATCTAGGAATCATTTATTTACCATCGTAAATGATAAATCCGGAAATCGTTGAGATAAAAAGAAAAGAAAAAAAATAAAGTTAATATGAAATTAATGTTCGTTTTTTTGTGTATTTTTAAGAAGTTGGTGATTTTTGGAATTTAAAAAAATTTTAAGTTTCTAAATTGAAATGTACATAATTTATTTTTGTTGTAGCCACCCTTATTGCTTTTACACAATGGGATGAAGAGACATACGTTGCCCGAGTAAGACTCAGGTCGTTTTGGATCGATCGTTAGGGCAGAATTAGAGACGTCTGCGTACCATGGGACAAATTTATGGTAAACAATTTATACGCCGCACTGTTAAAAATTTAACTTCAATCAGACACCCGTTCGAAATATATATGGAAGCTATGGCTGTATCCATACCAATTTTAACGAAACGCAATAATGACATTCAAGTCTCAATTTGATATGTTGTGCAAAAGTTCGTGTTAATCGGACAAACATTAGGAGTTTGGCGCAGCATTTACGTAGAATCAGACGAACATATATATGGGCGCTATATCTAAATCTGAACCGATTTTCACAAAACTCAGCACACATCATTCTAGACTTAATTCAGTATGCTGTGCCAAATTTCGAGCAAATCGAAAGATATTTAGGTGCACCATTTACCTTAAATCGACGAAAATATATATGGGAGTTATATATAAATCTGAACCGATTTTTTTCCAATTTCAATAGGGTTCGTCCTTGGGCCAAATAAATGAGCTGTGCCAAATTTCATCCAATTCTAATCATAAATGCGACCTGTACTTTGTTTACAATTTAACTTGGACAGACAGACGGGCGGACATGCATAAATCGACATAAAAAGTGAGTGTATGCATATTCTCAAAAGAAACCATGTGTCTATCTCGTTTCCTTTTGTCTGTTACAAACATATGCACAAAGACATAATACCCTGTACCACAGTGTGGTGAAGGGTATAAAAATGTACTCCTGTGTCAGGTCCTTGAAAAAATATATTTAAAAAGCCACGCCTGTGTCAAGTCCTTGAAAGAAGTGTTTTTATAAAACCAAGCCTCGTTCTGGTCCTTACAACATTTTTTTAAAAAAATCCACGCCTATTCATGTCTTCAAAAAATACACCCCTGTATTTTAAAAAATCGAAGCCTGTGTATGTCCTTAAAAAGTATTCTTTAAAGGAATAAACGCCTATTTCGTGTCCTAAAGAATATTTTTAAAAGAAATACTCACGTGTTTCGTGACCTTAATTTTTTTTTTTAACGAATCCACGCCATTTTTTTATACCCTTCACAACACTGTGGTACAGGGTATTATGTCTTTGTGCATATGTTTGTAACAGGCAAAAGGAAACGAGAATGACACATAACTTTTGATCTAAATTTTTTAAATTTTGAACATTCCATACTGTCCATTAAAAGAGTAATAAAATATATTTATCAAGCTTATAGTATGTCATATGTATAATTTATAAGAAACCAAAAATTATAAAATAAAAAATTTTATAAGGCTTGAAAGCAAAAAGTGTTCAAAGGTGCCCCCCTCTCCGCTATATTTTTTTCGTCCGATTTAATGTAAATGGTGTATCAAAGTACCTTAATATCGTTCGATTTGCATGAAATTTGGCACAGGGTAATGAATTAGGTCTAGAATAATATGTGTTAAGTTTCCTCAAAATCGGTTCAGATTTAGATATAGCTCCCATATATATTTTCGTCCTATTTAATGTAAATGGCGCACCAAAGTCCCTTAATATCTTTCGATTTGCACGAAATTTTGCATAGCGTAATGAATTAGGTCTAGAATCATGTGTGTTAAGTTTCCTTAAGCTTCTATATATGAGCAAATGAAAGATTTAGTATCGGTTGCAGAATGGCATGTTTATGGGTCCAATTTCATTATACTGGTCCTTTAAAAATGCGACGTCTGTTAGGATTCATCTGTTGAATATACCCAAAGTGGTGAAGGGTATCATATAGTCGGCCCCGTCCGACATTAATACTTTCCTTACTGTTTTTTTTTTTTTTTTTGACGAATCTTCTTCTCCAATATACGCATTGTGAGTGTTGACAATTTTCAACATTATAAAATATAAAGTTGAAAATTTTCAACACAATGCGTATTTGGGTAACATTCATAGCAATACATTTATTTAACTTTTGAGGTGAATAAAATCGTACGCAAATGCATGAATTTTGGTACGACCCTTAAAAATATTTTTTAAGCGAATCCACGTGTGGTCTTGTCCATATTTTTTTTTAACGAATCCCTTAAAAAATATTTTTTTAAACGAATTCAAAATATTCAAAAATAAATCATGAAAACCAAATGCAAAATCTGATATCATAACACTGCGCTACAAACCAACAAAAAAATTATTCAGTGCTTCTAATGTACCAATTCTGTTTAGTTGGAGTCCCTGGAACACGAAAATACCTTTGGTTTTTCTGTGTCACTTCGAAAATTAGTTTTATAACGGTAAATGTAGTAGAATTCTGTTTAGTTGGAGTCCCTGGAACACGAAAATACCTTTGGTTTTTTTGGTCACTTTGAAAATTAGTTTTATACCGGTAAATGTAGAGAAAAACGTGGTCTCATAGATTTTCAATTTGAAACGCGGATTTATGTTATTCTTTTTTTCTTTCGAAGAGTAGAATTTTTCGCTTTTAAACAAGGTATATATTTGGTAAATTGGTTGAGGATTGGCTGAGTTACAGTGGTTGAAATGTGAAAAAATACACATAAAAAGACGAAATGTATTTTTCTTCGGACTGTACGATTAAATTATGATTTCAAGCCGTATAAGTTTTATTATATTAGGGATGATTTATACACATTTTTGCATTGATTATATGCATATTCTCTAAAGGAACTATGGGTCTATCTCGTTTGCTTTTGTCTGTTACAAACATAATATGGAAACGAGATAGACCCATAGTTCCTTTACAGAATATGCATATACGTACTGTACACATATTTGCCTTCTCTATATTGAAAAGCGTATAACTTTACAAAAAATGACATTTTTTGATTTTTCTGTTGCCTGTTGGCAACGTTGGGCCATAAAGGATTAAAAAATGTATTTAAAAAATTGTATATGTAATACATTTGTATAACATTACGAGGCTCTGATGTTACATTGCGAATTAAATAAATAAATAAAAAAACATTCACGCCTGTGTCTGGTCCATAAAAAATCACGCTTGTGCATGTAAATGCTTTAAAAAAGTCTACGTTTTGTATGGTATTTAAAAATTTGTTTAAAACAAAGTCAAGACTTTGTCGGTTCCTTGAAAAAATATTTTTTTAATCGAATCATCATTTAGCCAATCATCCCGATACAAAAATAAGAAGCCTCCTCAAATATTAAATAAAACACATTTGGATTTACATTATTTTAAATATATATATTTTTATATGTATTATGTTTGCAACAAAAATCTTTTCATTATCTTATCGATTTTGTATTTTTTTGAAATAAAAAAAAAGAATAAGAAAAAATGGAAATAAATATAAATTGCACTAAATTATTTTCGTACATATATACGATGATATTATAATATATAAAATATCATCATTTGGAATTATTACAAACAAAAATAAGTAAATAAATAATTGTGTACTTAAAGTAATTACAATGTTGTAAATGCAGAGTATTATTTTTAATTTTTTTAAAGATTCACAAATTAATTTGCATATAAATATCAACAATTTCTTAAGAAGAAACAGACACGCTTATAAAATAAAATGACTAGAGAGCTAGACAAATTGTCTCCGAACCTATTTATACAATTTTAACGAGTTGTAAGTACAAAAACAAATAAAAGAAGAACCTAAACCTAAATTACATCCAAGGAGGGCAAAAATGAGGCGGTAAGAGATCATTGAATTGCCATTGTAAATCTCAGAAAATTCTCGAAGGACTGCGACTGTTGTTGCGCGAAGGAGAACGTGTACGTGAGCGTGGAGAACTTTCACGACTACAGCAGCTGGAACAATAACAACTGGAGACATCCGAAGGCGTTTTACGATGATATGGTATCGGACGTTTACGGGCACTATATTTTTTGGGAAAGTGAATAAAAAATGCATTATTATTTTTGGTTTTAAAACATATAAATGAAAAATTTTTGGATTTAGTTTTTTAATTCCACAAAAAAAATGCAATTGGAAAAAAAATAGAACTGACAAAACTTACCAAAAAGTAAATGAAAATAAAATGTATAATTTATAGCTAAGTACTGAAAAGAAAATGATAAAAAACTGAAACAAATAAAGATTGTTGGTCGTTTTTAAGGACCAATTAAAATACCTCACCCTTTATGAACTGCTTAGCATGATGTTCATTGTTGGGCAAGGTTAAAATAATTAAAAATAATAATAATAAATAACTACATAAACAATATATTACCATTACAAACCAAAGAAGAAAAATCATACACAGATGTATGAATGTCTACAAATATATATCCAGCATGTGTAGTATACTGCATGTTATTTCCATTTATTGTTTACTTTTTTGAAGATAATATGTATTGATAGGGGGATGGATATTGGATATTTGTTGGATTTGTAGAGGATTTGGGGTTATAGTACACAACAAATATGTAAGCATAATGAACCCAAAATATGAACTGAAAAAATATAGAATAAAGTGGCACACAAAACAAAATTTCGCTTACAACTAAAAATCTTAAAAAAAGAAAATGAAATAAAAAAAAATTTATTAAAAACGGAATTTAATGAAATCAATATCTTCTGCGTTCACGAGCATGTGATGTACGACGGCTACAAAAAAAATTAAAAAATAAATAATATTCAATTAATAAATAAAAGAAAATTAATAATAAAAAAACTAAAAATAAATTAAAATAGATTTTAATATATTATCTCGATTTTTACCTAGTAATACGTCGACGATCTAGGAAGCTGGGTGAACCCCTTCGTCGTGGTATTGAGGGTGAGCGGGTGCCCGAACGTGAGGATCCAGAGCTACTGCTGCTGCTAAAAAACCCAAAAGTGAAATCAATTATTAAATGTAAAAATTTTTAGAAGCTTGATAAGGATGTGGACGTTGTAAGGGGAGTCATCGAAAAAAAAACAAAATAATTAAAAAATACTTTCAAGAAATCCACAACTGTTTTGGGACCTTGAAAAAAATATTTTTTAAAAATCTACGCCTATATCTGATCATTAACAATATATTTTCAATAATTTTTGCAAAAAAAAAAGTTTCCTTCTCTTTCAAAGATTTTGTTAGTGACATGCCTCAACAAAAACTTACCTAGATGAACTCCTTGATGAACTGCGGGACGATGAACTAGAGTGAGAGGAATGAGAACGTGAACGAGAACTACGGCGACTGTGGCTACGACTACGACTGCGGCTTGAAGACGAGCTACAAATACAAAAAAAGCAAATGACAGTTACAACAAAATATATGGATGAATTTTAATCGTGATTTTTAAAAAAATCAAATTAAAAAAGAAAACAACTTACGATGATCTTGAATGTGATGACTTAGAACGACCACGTCCACTACCACCCGTGGTATCACGATCTCCACCTCCATTACCTCCTCCTCCACCATTGCCATCATCCTTGCGGGTACGACTGCGACTGCGTCGCGAACGACTACGACTTCGTCTAGCAGCACTCTCGGCCGCTGCCACGGTTGCCGTCGACACCTTCGAGACAATGGCATCTACCAGCGATGAATCGGCCAGGGCAACCAAAGGCTGTGAATCATTAATTTTAAAAGGTTTTATTACAATTTTTGATTTCGAGTTAGCTGTTGTTAGTTGTTGTTGCTGTTGCAACAGATTTAAACTATTCGCCGTCGCGCTATTCAGTCCTAAACTGTGACGTTGGGCGGCCGCTATTGAGGCGGCCATTAAAATACGATCGGTTATTTGAGAACTGTTCGAGGCGGAATTCGAATTGCTATGATGATGATGATGGTGGTGGTGGTGATGATGCGGATGGTGCTGGTGCTGAAAACCATGTAGCTGATGATGAGCAGCGGCTGTGGCGCTATTCAAATTAGCTTTGGTTAGCAACAAATTCGTGTTGGAGTAGTTAGTACAGGGGGTGGCACTTAAGCCCAAGGTTAGAGCGGTACGATGATCACGACGATTGACTAGAATACTGTTCGATTGCTTACTAAGCATTTGGTTATTGAATTGGGTGGCGGTTATAAGGGGGGTGTTGTTAATACGACTAGGACGATTGAAAGAGAGGTTGTTAAGAGAGTTGTTATTGTTATTCGAGTTTAGAGAGTGGTTAGCATTTGAGTTAGCAAAGGGGGAGTTCGGATGGTTATGATGATTGCCTAAGTGATGGTTGTGATGGTGATGATGATTGTGGGGACCACCACCAGCAGCGCCCATGCCACCACCCATGTTGCCGTTCATACGCGCTTGTCGGTGATTGTGATTGTGTGGCGGCGGATGCATATGCAGATTGTTGGGCCGTCTCGGCCCACCTGCACCCCCACCACCACCATAAGCTGAAGGCGACTGCCTTTGGCGGCGATCATTGAAGCGTTCCTTCTGGTTCGGGTTAAGAGTCTCTCGTGGTTTAAGGTCCCTACTATCTTTGGCGTCACGCTCACGATGATAATGATATTGATCACGCTTGCGTTCTCTTTCCACACCACTGCAATAGAGCGGTGGTGGTGGTCTGGTGTTTACTTTTGGACTAGCGTTCGCATGACCATTTGCAGCCATTGGAGGCTTCTTGCAATCAGCCTGCGTCTCTGTGTCCGTTTTACGTTCCGTCGTCGGTGCCTCTTCACTCGCACGCTCACTAACTTTTGTCTGCGTCTGAGACTTTTGTTCTTTGGTTATTTCTTCTAATGTCTGTGGATAAATAGCACCGGCCGGCGAATTGGTCGTAATATTCTGCGCCGAGGTCGCAACAACGGCCGGCGCCTTGTTATTCGCAGCCAAAAAGTCATTTAGAGAATTGCGTATACCCCGCTTGGAGGCAGCATAGCATTGATCACTTACATCTCCTCCAGCAGATGTGGAGGCGGACATGGCCGTCGAAGAGTTGGCCATTTTTTCAATGGTCTTAATTTTCTCCTTAGCCTTGGCTGCAATTCCGGTTTTCAGCTGTTCGAGCATTTTCAGATCCTTTAGTTCCCGGCCACGTTTGGACTCTTGAAATTCCTCGAGAATCTTTTCCGTATTACGCTCAGCAGCGGTGTCACTGTTTTCATCTTCACTTTGCGATTGGAGGTGTACTCGTGGCTTGAGTGAGTGCGTTTTATCACGCTTGCTATTATCTGAGGTGGCATCCCGACTGCGTTTGGTTTGTTCTTTACCATCAGTTGAGAGTTCATCGCTTCGTTTCGATGATGACGAAGATTTTTTCTGATCTTTACGTCCATCGTCCGTGGTATCTTTGCGTGATTTTTCCGATTTTTGTTTATTGGCATTTTCCAAAATGTCACGATAACGTTCGGGATTACGTCTAGCGGGAGAATAGCTAAGTTCGGATGAATCTCTAGATGAACGGGGAGATGAATTATTTTTCTCCTGTCTGGGTGGAGTGTTGTCACGTCGATTGCGTTCATCTATTGACGTATCACGAGCAGATCCTCCGGCGTTTGGTCTTGCTGGAGAACGTAAATATTTCAACCTTTCTGGATTATTGGATGTTGTTGCAGCTGATTTTGGACTAGCTGATCTAGATTTACGTTGTGGTTTCCTATCATCCACTTTGTGTTTCTTTTGGGGAGATCGACTTGGCGAACGAGAGCTATCACTTGCCGTAGAAGAACCCGAATCGGACGATGTAGATGAGGCAGATTGTGAACGTTGTGGTTTCCTTGCAGGAATTTTACTATTTGTGCCCTTGGAAGCCTTAGAGGAACTTGATTTTTTGCTCTCCTCGGATGGTTGACGTTTGGAGGTGTGTTTTTCCTCGGATATTTCACGTTTTCGGCGTTCCATTTTATTGCGATTCTCAGCAGATCGATTACGTTTTACTGGCTCGTTCTTAGCAGCAGGTGAACGAGATCTTTGTCTTCCCCTCGAAAGAGGTGATTTCGATTTCCTCTTGACGGGGGATTTTGACCTACTTCTACGCCTTTCCTTAACAGGAGTTCTAGATTTATTTCGTTCCCTCACTATGGGAGATCTAGATCTTTTCCTATCTCTTACCGCCGAAGATTTTGATACAGATCGTCGTCTTGGCGATTTAGATATAATTGGCGATTTAGATCTACGTCTTTCAGGTGACTTAGATCTGCGTCTTTCATTTACTACTACCGGTGATCTGGATTTACGTCTTTCTTTTATTGCGGGCGTTTTAGATTTACCACTTGCAGGTCGTGGTGCTGGTGACCTTGAATGTCTCCTATCCCTTGGTGACATTAAAGTTCTACGTTTTTCCCTTTGCATGGGAGATTTGGATCTAGATTTTTCTTTCTGCGACATTTTGCTATGTTCCACACTTCTGCGTCGTGGTGTTCTCGAACGGGATCGTGATGGACTGATTGCCTTTTTGGGTGATTTTGTTTTGGTGACATCACGTTGCCGGGAGTGTGACCGTGAATATTTTTGTTTCTTCTCAACACTGTGACTTTCACGACGTCTCGAATGACGATCCTCTGAATATTTACGTTTACGTTCGTGTAATCGGTCCGGTGTGGTAACCTCACGTCTAGAACGTGAAGACGGTGGTGGTGGTGAACGACGACGAGAATCTCGATTAAGATCACGACCACGATCACCACGGCTATAGCTTCGGTTATCGGGAGATATACGTCTGTGACGTGAATCACGACTACTATCATCGGTACGTTTCCGATCATTTCGTGTATTTCGGTCATGGCGACTGTGACTACGGCTACGTCTGTTACGATTTTCTTGTGATGAATCACCAGCATGACGCTTTACACCACTATCCCTTGGCTTGGATGTTTGACTTTCTTCGGAACGACTGCGGAAAGGATTGGATTTTTTCACATCGCTGCTATCCTTTTTGGTATCTGTGGCTTTGTTGACAGGGGAGCTAAAAGAGGGGAAAGAATTAAAGACTTCAATTACCGATATCAGACATATGAAAATTATTATTATTATTATTTTTTTTTTTTTAGAATTTTTATCGGAAAAAGTGGAAATGAACTTATTTATACAAATAAATCTTCTCGCGATTTCAGAGTAATATTATTGGGATTGTTCTTCAAAACTTACTTTGATCTCGATTTTTCCGATGAGGTTGACCTGTCTCGCCTCTTCAACTTTTTCTCACGCTTTTTCTACATACATAGAGAGGGGAAAAAATAAAATATTCGTTATTTAAATTCTCACAAAATAATTTTATATCTTTGATATTTCACCCTATAATTTGAAACATATTTGTGTATTTATTTTTGGTATTCTTTTTTTATTGTATTTTGTACAAAAACAATGCATTATTGGATGCGATTTTTTTTTGTTTGGAAAATATTACTAAAGTTCATTCATTCCGTTTATGTTACAATATAGTAAACCAAAAATGTTTTTTCTATGAAAAACTAAAATGACAAAAAATCAAGAATATAAATCTAAAATGAAAGTACTTACAAAACTACTAGAGAGCCTTTCGAAAGCTATCCTATTTAATGAAGCGCCAGGGATTTGTATTTAAAATATACATATATATTTTTGTAGTACACATATATACATATACACAGAAATAAAAATTGTAGTTGTAAATATCATTTTTTGATTGCTGATTTTGTTTTAGTAAAAATAAAATAATTTTGAATTGCATCGATGTGTAAAATTCTTAAAATAACATTTAACACCCCATTACTACAAGGAGAATTTTAAAAAAATATATATTTTCAATTAACAACACAGGAATGGATTTTTTAATTTTTTTTTTGTGAAGTTTATCACAGGTGTTGATATTGTAAAAAAATAAAATATATTTTTAAGAATCAGAGCAGGCATACCACAGTTGCGGATTTAAAGGTCTAAAAGAAGTGTGGATTTTTTCAAAAGTAAGGTATATATTTTTTTTCCAATATCAAACACGGGTGTAGATTTTTGAAAATTATAAAACTATATTTTTTAAGGCGTAGATTTTTGAAAAAAATATTTTTAAATGACTACAAGAAGCGTGGATGTTTGAAAATATTTTTAGACGTCTACAAGAGACGTGAATGTTGAAAAATATTTTTCAAAGACTAGACACAGGCTTGGTTTTTTATACCCTTCACCACACTGTGGTAAAGGGTATTATGCATATGTTTGTAACAGCAAAAGGAAACGAGATAGACCCATAGTTCTTTTTGAGAATATGCATAGAATCACTTTCTGAGTCGATTTATGCATGTCCGTCTATTGGTGTTAAATTGTAAACAAAGTAGAGGTCGCATTTCTAATCCGATTTGGATAAAATTTGGCCCAGCTCATATATTTGGTTCAAATACGATCCCTATTGAAATTGGTTCAGATTTAGATATAGCTCCTATATATAATTTCCACCAAAGTCCCTATATATCCTTTGATTTGCACGAAATTTGGCACAGCCTATTATATGAAGGCTGGAATGATGTATGTTAAGTTTCGTGAAAATCTGTTTAAATTTAGATATAACTCCTATATATATTTTAAGATTTAAGGTAAATGGTGCGCCAAAGTCCCTAAATATCTCCCGACTTGCACGAAATTTGGCATAGCGTTATGAATTGAGTCTAGAATGATGTGTGTTAAGCTTCGTTAGAATCGGTCCAGATTTAGATATATATATATATATATATATGTGAGCATATATTTTAGTCCAATTTTATGTAAATGGTGCACCAAAGTCCCATATATTTTTCGATGTGCACGAAATTTGGCAAGGCGTACTGCCTTGAGTCTAGAATGATGTGTGCTAAGCTTCGTGAGAATCGGTCCAGATTTAGATATAGCTCTCATATATATTTTCGTCCGATTTAATAGAAATGGTGCACCATTGTAGGCAAACGACTCTAAACTTGCTGAATGAAATTTAGCATAGGTTCCAGAAAGCCGTAAAGATCACATATTCAAGTTTGTTCAATTTCATGTTAATGTTCTTTCAAAAATACAGAGTCTATTAGGAGACATATGTAGAATATACACAAAGTGGTGAAGGGTATTATATAGTCGGCCCAGTCCGATTATTATTATTATTATTTTTGTTTTTTGAGTCTAACGCAATTTTTATTTTTTATTTTTTTTTTTGGAAATATTTTTTAAAGACAATCAATCTATTGTAGTAAGGGTGTTAAATGTATATTTAAAATAATTTTCAAATATTTTTTTTTAATTTTTCTAAATTTACTTTACCAAAAGTCAATTAAATATAAAAACAAAAGAAACAACAAATAAAGTGTTTACCTTGGATTCGGAATTTAGGGAAAATCGACGTGTTTAAATTTTAAATATTTGTTTGGTTTAGTTTTAGGTAACAAAAATTCATTTGGAAAAAAATAGATTTCATTGAAGAAAGAAAAAAAAAACAAATAAAACAAACATATCAAGCAAGAAGAAGTAATGATGATAAAAAATGTTTGAACAATTTTATTTTTTGAATTAGAATAAATGTGAATAATTGTTTTTTTGAGATTGATTTTTAGTCATTATCCATTATAGTAGGTAGTAGTAGTTGTTGTAAGTAAGGTAATAGATTTAGAAGAGATAATATTTATTAAATATTTATTTTTTGAATTTAACAAACAGGTGCATGATTTTTATTATTTATATATATATTTTTCATTAAATCTTCAAATATTTATCAACTCTATTGAAGGTACTTGGATTGGCTGTATTGTTTGTTGATTGGTTGACTTTACTCACCTTATCCTTTTTGGATTTTTTACGGCTCTTCTTCACTTCGGCTTCGCTGTCCGAGGAATCATTTTCATCGGCCACAGCAGCGGCATCATCGCTGTCCGATTCACTGGATTTACGTTTACGTGACTTCTTCTTTTTCGATTTACTGCAAGTAAACGGTGGTATATATTTTTTAATTATTACATTTTTCGCATTGTCAATTTTTAAAAGAAAAAATACATAAAAATTTATAGATTTTCTAAATTTATTCAAAAGAGTACCACATAAGAATTACTAATTTTTTTTTTATTTTTTTTTTTTTTGCTGTAAATTTACTTAGATCTTAGAATTCAAAATGTTATACGATTAGTATTTAAATACAATGAAGATTTGATATTTCCTCAACGAATGTGAATTAAACCACTGGAAGTAAAAAAAAACAAGAAACACTTTCATGTGATATTGCGGAACCGGACTTGATTTAAAAGTCTTTTTTACCCTTAAAATGTCGAACAACTGTTGCTACAATTTTTTATAATATTGTTATTTGAAAAAATGTAGTTATATATTTCTATTTTTAGCTAGCAACTCATACGTACATCAATAACTAATCTAAGTCTGGAACTCTGGATAATCCAAGTTTCGAACTCAATTTTATAAAATTGAACATACACAAATATCTTATGAGGAGGTGTTCGATTCCTAAAATCAATAAAATATTAGACTAAAAAACTCATTTCACGATCTAAGACATCCATTATGCAAATAAAAACCCATTGTCGACAAATGTAATAGAAAGATCAGTGGAGTGTAAATAAAAAAATGCAAGTGTTATTGGAAGCGATGGGATGAGAAGTCGGAATTCAAATGCCTTGCCATGCCCAAAATTGCGCCACTGAAGTCAAAAATATCTAACAGACGAGTTGGTGTTAATTGACCTTTCATGACAACCGTGTTAGAAACGGTCATATGAAATAAGTTGTCAGGACAGCATAGAGATTTACGAGACCAGTCTCCTATAAAGCTGCCGTCCGATAATTCAACATGTGGATGCCCGAAATGAAGAAACACTAAATATACTTCGTCAAACTCTTGGTTATGGGGGGGATCTATACGGTGGAGATCGATATGATAAGAATATTACTTTATGAAGACCGCTGGCTAGGCTATTTTTACATTTGAACTTATAAAATAAGACCAAAAGATCTGCATAAATCATAGTGATTGGGTCATACATATTTATCGGGTCATAAGGCCCGAACGAAAACTGCACAGAATGATTTAGAAGTCTTTATAAAAGCACCAATACTTTCTTCATAGAATAGCAGAAGAACTTCAAACAGGTAGAGGTTTTCTTAGAGAAAAGTTTGTCTTTTCTGCTGAAGAGCTGGAGGTTTTCCTTATAGAAGAGCAGGAGAATTTATATTTCATATAGCAGGAGATATTTATGGAAGTGTTGTTTATTTTCTTTCAAAATATATGTTACGAACTGGAGGTCATAGACATCATAGAAATATTTATGATATCTTTCAGTGAAGTACCGGTTTTCCACATAGGAGATCTGAAAAATCTTCTTCGTAGAAGAGCTGCCCACCGTATTTTTAAAAGAGCTGGAAATATATTTTTCATGGAAGAGCTGAAGGCCTTCTTCATAGAAGTACTTGAGATCTCCTTCATCGAAGAGATATTCTTCATAGACAACTGAAGATGTGCTTGGTCTTCATAGAAAACCTTGAGGTCTTCTTTGTTGCAGTTCTGAACATTTTCTTAAATAAGAAAATGTTCTTCATATAAGAGCTAGTGATATTTATTACGTCTTTGTGGATATGTTTGTAACAGGCAAAAGGAATCGAGATAGACCTATGGTTCCTTTTGAGAATATGCATAGAATCACTTTCTGAGTCGATTGAACAAAGTACAGGTCGCATTTATTCTCCGAATTGAATGAAATTTGACACATGTCACTAATTTGGCCCATGGACGATCCCTATTGAAATTGGGAAAAATCGGTTCAGATTTAGATATAGCTCCCATATTTTATATAAATGGAGCACCATACTGCCAATATTTGCCTAATATTTAATTTCGTCCGATTTCATTTCAATGGTCCTCCAAAGATGCTATGTCTATTCTATAAAAATAATATTGTACATATGAGCATCCCTTGTATGTACCCATAGTGGTGAGGGGTATCATCGGTAGTCGGCCTTGTCCGACTTTTGAACTTTCCTTACCGTTTTTTACGTATATTTTCATCTTCATATAAGAGATGCTGACAAATTTCCTCATGCAATAGCTCAAGGTCTTTTACATAACATATCTAGTGGGCTTTTTTATAAATTAGCTGGAAATCTTCTTTATAGATTAATATAAAGACTACTGAAGATCATCACATATGCAAGAAGAAAAGATTACCTGTCGTTTTTTATAAAAGTTCTTTTCGAATGTAATCCCGGAGACAAAGAAATTATTCGATTAACAGTTGGAAAGACCGGCACGGGTAATTTTAGATAATATTTTAAATGCAGGTCATGTTTTACATATTAAGTGTGAGGTTGATCTTTTTAAATTCCTTTTTTTTAATCATTCAATAAATAAGTTCAGCCTGGATGAAATCCACCATGTGGTGTGGTGTGCCTACATTGAAATACTTCCACTTTGGGGCGAAAACAAAACACGAACTATATTATTTTTATAATTTTCTGAATAGATGTGTGTAAGACTCAAAAAATCCGGAATGCAAAATTGCAGCACCTGGGGTTTGCAAATTTGTAAACCTTATAAAATGCCAAAATAGGGGGTCCTCCTTTATGTGGAGGCTATGTGAAAGCAAGGATTTTTATGATGTAATCTTTAATAAGAATGAGGAGATTTTATGGTGTTCCCTAAAGAAAATATCGGGTCCTCTACACGAACTTTTGGCCTTATATTATAAAATAAATCTGATCTTTTCTTTTCTGCTGATCCATTGGAATATCAACGCAAGATTTACAGATTTAAATACCATGATTTGTTTTTCCTAAAAAGGTGAAAGTGAAGGATAGATCGATCTTAATTGTTATAAATATTTTTATAATTTTTATTTGGTTTTTCTTTATTCTTTGCCAACATAATTTTATTTATTTTTTCCCCTAATATTTTATTGTTTTTTGTTATTGTTGTAACACCTTTATTGTTTACCTTAATGAAAATACTTCTTTACTGGTTAGTCTTAACGAAAATAATCGAAAAAAAGGAAAAAGATGAGAAAATAATTTGTATTGTTTTTTTTCAAAAATGTTCAACCAACATTGTTGTAGAAGTAGAAGAAGAACAAGATTAGGGATAAATTTAACTAAAGCTTTGTGTTATTTATTTTTTCAATTATTATTTATTAAAACGTCAACAAGGCAACAAACAGACGTTGGTTTCTATTTATATATTGTGAAGATAATTTCGCAAATGGATACAAAAAAAGAAAAACGAGAAAGTCGGACATAGGGAGGGGGAATATAATAAAAAATAAAAGAAGCACTGTATAACGAAAAAAAAAACAAAACAACAAAAATATAGTGGCTAGTTACTAAAAAAATAGGAATTGAAACACAATTTGAATTTGAATTTTGAGTCCAGATCTTATAAACAAAAAAAAATTCTATTAATAATATTGAATAGAAAATTTTAAATCTCATTGGTGTATTTTAAGGTTTTGATTAATTATATCCAATCAAGTTTCAATTCCATTTAAATACAACTGCAATGAAAAATCAATCAAATATGGTGTATGTATGTGTCTGTGAGTGTAAACTTAAAGTTATGATTTGAAAAATGGAATGAAATGCAAAACAAAATGTTGATTACTTACCCCGTTGTCGTTATAGGTTTTGTTTGATTGTTTTTTTTTAATGGTTAAAGCCGAGTTTAATTTTTTGGTTTTTTTTTTCAAAAAAAAAGTCGAGTAATATTGTAAGAAACAAATATTTCAAAATAAAATGCAATGTATACATTAGATAATAAAGATTATATGGATTAATAATTGTTTCTTGTTGTTGTTAAATTTGTTTAAAGGGAGAGAGATAGAAAAAAAATATTATAATGGCGATCAATGTTCGTTCTTGTGGTTGGTCGGGTTGTTTGACAAATAATCACAACTTGGTTGAATTCTGTTAACGGTGTTATTCTTACTATATCGATTTCGATATTTGGTTTGGTCTCGCATGAGTTTATATTAAAAACAGTTTTCTTTTCTTTTTTGTACATTAGATTTGTTGATTCGTTTTGTTATTTTTTATTCTTTTAAATGGTAAAAATTGTCAATGTTTTTGTGGTTGTTGCTAGTTTTTTTTTATATAAATAAAATATCTTAATATAGTAAACAAAATAATTAGTTTTTTCGTTTCTTTTTTCTTTCTTTTTCATAAGAAGAAGACGAATTCCTGAGGGGTGGGTGGTGTTTTTTTCAATAAATGTTTGGTTTGGTTTTCAAAAGTTTGGTATTAATTCAATATAAAAAATGCAGAGAAAGTAGAGAATAAAAAATATATGAAGCAATTGATAAAGAAGAAAGAATTCATTTAAAATTGATTTTTTGGTTTTTGTTTGTTTTTTTGGATTATTTTGATAGATTTAAGATTAAGATTAAACTAAAAAACAAAACAAGAAACACGATGATAACATAAAATCCACTACAGAATATAAAAACAAACAAAAAAATCATCCTTTAAAATTAAATACAAAATATATTAGTTCTACAAATTAATACTAAAAAATAATAGTTAGGTTAACATAAAAATTAGGTTTTTGTTTTTACTTTTTTTTTTTTGAAACACATGACCTAGGAAATCATCTAGTACAATAATATACAACAACACAAAATGTGATATATCATTACGTTCGGATATTTGTTTTAGACATACCTTTCCTTTTTGTGTTTTTTAGATTTTTTCTTTTTATCTTTTTTGCGTTCGGGACTGTTGGAGCTGTAAAGAGAATGAAAATAAACGAAAAATTCAAAAAAGTGTTTTTATATATAAACAGGAATAGATTTTATATAAAGAAATATTACATAGAATGACTTTTAGTCTCCCTTAGGAACACCTTTACGGTGTGCTATGAGAAGAACAATTCGTTTTATTTTAAGACAGTCTATAGCCCTTAGAAAACATGGATGTTAAAAATAAGGAAAGTAGTAAAGTCGGACGGAGCCGACTTCCGACCCTTCACCACTATATGTATATTAAACGAATGCATCCTAACAGAAGGGCCATTATATGAAATTGGATGAACTAAAATATGTGACCTTTATCTAAAGGTGAACCGACTAAGAACAATCCATAAACATGTCATTCGTTTGTTGCAATGGGTCAAAATTATGTACATCGATTTTATGCAAATATTAAAAATATCAAAATGCTCAATTTTGTACGTTGTGCAAAATTTCATGTCAATATTACAAACATGAGGAGTTTGGTGCACCATTGATTTTTATTGGATAAAAAATATTCTAGACTTAATTCCGTACGCTATGCCAAAATTCGTGCAAATCGAATGATTTTCAGGGACTTTGGTGCACAATTTATCTAAAATCGGGCGAAACTATATATAGGAGCTATCTCAAAATCTCAACAGATTTTCAAGAAATTTTACACACATCATTCTAGACTCAATTGAGTACACCGTGCCCAATTTCGTGGAAATAGGAAGATATTTAGGGAGCGAAGCTATATATGTGAGCTATATATAAATCTGAACCGATTTTCACGAAACTTAGCACACGTCATTCTAGACTTAATTCAGTACGCTATGCCAAAATTATATATGGGAGCTATATATGGGAGCTATATCTATATATAGGAGCTATCTCAAAATCTCAACCGATTTTCATGAAATTTTACATCATTCTAGACTCAATTGAGTACACCGTGCCCAATTTCGTGGAAATAGGAAGATCTTTAGAGAGCGAAGCTATATATGTGAGCTATATATAAATCTGAACCGATTTTCACGAAACATAGCACACGTCATTCTATACTTAATTCAGTACGCTATACCAAAATTCGTGCAAATCGAACGATTTTCAGGTCGAAACTATATATGGGAGCTATATCTAAATCTGAACGGATTCCAACAAAATTTCGCATACATCAGTTGGGACATAATTCAGTACTCTGTTCAAAACTGTGCTTCAGTCGGATCAATATTGGGAGTTTGGTGCACTATTTACATTAAATCGGACGAAACTATATATGGGAGCTATATCTAAATCTGAACCGATTTTCTCCAATTTCAATAGGATTCGTCCCTGGGACAAAGAAATGATCTGTCTCAAATTTCATCCAAATAGGATCATAAATGCGACCTGCACTTTGTTCACATGCATAAATCGACTCAGAAAGTGATTCTATGCATATTCTCGTTTCCTTTTGCCTGTTACAAACATATGCACAAAAACATAATACCCTGTACCACAGTGTGGTGAAGGGTATAAGGGTATATATGTTTTTTTAAGGATCCACCAAATGCGTGGTTTTTCTCTATGAGAAGACCGTGAGTCCCCTATGAAAAACCAAATATAAGTCACCATATTCAATTTAATACCAACTTACCTTTCACGTGTACGTTTCTTTTTCTTCTTTTTAATGGAATGCTCATCATTATCTCCATTACCACCTATAATACCAAGTGCTCCGCCTTCACCACCACTCTTTCCGCCAGCCGACACATCACGTTCTCTGGATGGTGTCCGTACTAAAGCATAACGTTTCGATGATTCTTTAGCAGCTGCGGCAGCAGTAGCTGCTGCTGCGGCGGCCTGTTCACGTTGAGCGTCCAGTTCTTTTTGTAAAGCTAAACTTTTAGCTAAATCTTCTTTGGCTTTACGATCCGAATCAAAGCTGGAACCTTCAACAAAATACTCAGATATGTTAAAGGCTTCACGTAATTTGGCGTTTTTCTCCTGTTGAGCTTCGGCAATTTGATGGGTGTCACGGACACTGGAATGAAAATGGAAAAATAATTTATATATTAATTATAGAAATAATAAATAAAATTTATAGGTAATCTATTAAAAAAATCTCGTTGTAAGTTACCTTTGCCCACTATTAAATTTGGTTTCTAACATTTGGGCATTATTCATTAGAGTTTCCAAAAGCAAAGTCGGTGTTGAATTTTGTAAAATACCCAAGAGTTTTGGCAAAGTGGTGTTGTCATTGAAATTGAAACAACTTAAATAATTATTGTTGGAGGTGGTTGTGGCGGTGGTGGTGGTGTTGTGGTTGGAGGAGCATGACTTGTGAGCTGTGTCTGTTACACCACTACCGTGCTCAACACAAGAGCATGAACATTTCTGTTTGGCTGTTTGTGGTTGTTGCAAGAGAGCCATAGCCGGTTTTTGTTGTTTTATTTGTTTTTGTTTCAGATTTCGTTGTTTCCTTTGCAGGGCAGCAGAACCAGCCACCACCAACCCTTGATATTTTTGTTTTCTCAGCAAAGAGAACTGCTGCTGCTGCTTCTTTTGTAAAAGTTTTGATTTTTGTTTTGCTATTCGATTTTGTTTTGTTCCTCCGCCGCCACCGTTAAGGGGTTTGAATTTTTTCGCCACCTCTGCATAGAGCAAATCACTCTCGCTGATATATTTTGAAAATACACCAGCAGCAGCAGTGGTAGTAGCTGTTGTGATATTTTGGTGGTGGTGATGATGATGGATGGTAGTAATGTTTTGGCTATTTCCATTGTGTGTTACCGAAGATGATGACGACGACGATGATGTCGTTGAAATCAATCGATTATCGTGTTGAAAGTACTGTTTGAAAGCATTTCTGTTATTGTTTATTTTTTGCATTAAATTCTGAGATTTTATTGTTGTTGTATTTTGCATTGGGGTTATTGCTTGTGGCTTCTTGCGGCGTTTACGCCGTTTCTTGGCTTTTAAGGTGTTGGGGGGTGTTGATGTCGAGGCGGTTTTGGTTGGCATTGTTTGGAATTGTGGATGTTGTTGTATGGATGAGGATAGCATATTTGGGGTTTTTTAAATTATATATTTATCTATAGGATTTTTTTTGAAATTTTAACTCTTTTTGAAGTAACGTATAACTATGGCTTACAAAGATTTTTTAATTTTAGTTTTAATTTATATAGTTTTTTAATGTTATGATTTTATTTTATAAAATGTGTATATATTTTAAATATTGATTTCCTTTTTGTCAATGTAAATTTTGTAAATTATTTTCAATATTAATGGACCGCTTATAAACTATGGCTGACAGTGGATTACTTATATATTTACTAACTTTATGACATTTTCTTTAATGTTTGGAAGACCATGAATCTGATACGACTTCAACGTTGTTACATCGATAGTAATATAAGTTCCTTTCTATTTTTGTTATATATGTAGCTATGGTTTAAAAACTACGGCTGACAGTGGATTTTTATAATTTTTATTTTGAATTTTTTATATATATTTTTATATTTTTTATTTATTTTTATAATTAAATATAATTAATTTATCTTATTTAGCATTTTTTATATATTATTATGTTTTATATATATTATATTATATATTATATATTTTATTTTATATTTTTATTTATTTCATGTTTTCATTTAAATAACTTTGTATTTATTATTTATTAAATTGATTTTCTTTTTAATTTATTTTGTTTTAAATTTAAATTGGGTTTAACTTAACGTTGTCATTTTTATTGGCTTTTGGTGATAATATAATATTTCATTTGATTTTTATCTCCTTTTACCAAAGGAGATCGGAAGACAATTGATTTTTTAATGTTATTATAAAATTCTCTGAGCATAAGTTTTATCAAAAATTACTATAATTTTATAATATATTGAAATTAAAAAAAAATGTTTCCTTAAATTGTTTTTATTAATTTTTTTTATTTAATTTTTTTTTTTGTTATTTATTGAATTGATTAGAATTTTCAAATCTTTTTTTGTTTATTTTATCTACATATTATTAATTTTTTTTATATAAAGTTATATGGGTGATTATATTAATAAATGTAATATTGTTTTAATGAATTATATTAATTTTTTATTTATTTATTTCTGCGTTTGTGTTGATTTTTTGTGATAACAATTAATGAATTATTTTAAACCAAGAAGATATGAGGAAGACAGTGGATTTTAAATTGTGTGTTAAAATCGTCTATGAATGTTTGTTTCTATAATTGCTAAATTTATATTTATAAAATTTTGTAACAAATGTATTATTTTTAATTATTTTAATGTTTTATTATTTTATTTTATATAATTTGGTATTTATATATTTAATTAATTTTTTATTTATATATATATTTTATTTTTTTTTTGTATTTATATATATATATTTATTATCTTAAAAATATATATTCTTAATCTAAAACTGGCTGACCATGGATTATTATTATTATTTATTTTTTTTATTATTATTATTATTATTATTTTTTTTTTGATTTCTGGCTATCTTTGGTGTAGTTGTAAGACGATTTTTATCTCCTTTTACCAAAGAAGATAGGAAGACATATTTAGCGTTTCAATATATTGTAAATATTATTTATGTTTTATCTTAAAAATAGTTTTATATCACATGTATAAATGGAAGACTTGGATTATAAATATAAATTTATATTTTTTCTGTTACATTATTTTAAAATTTATTTTGTTCAATTTACTTTAGTAATACACATTATTTTTAATTTAAATAGAAATAATAATTAATATTGTTATATTAGGTATTTGGAAAATCTAATATATTTACTTTTTTTAATTTTTATTATTAGCAATTATTTAAAATTTTATAGAAAAGTATTTTTTATTTATTTTTTATTTTTTAAAATTTGAATTTATTATTTTTTTAATGTATTTCAATAAATCATATTTATTTTTTAAATTTCTATATTAACACCGTTTTATATTGGTTTTTATATTATTATTTTTATTCGTTATTTTTAATGTATTCATTTTTATAGTTATTTTAATATTATTTTTAACATTATGTTATATTTTTAAATCGCATTTTTTATTATTAATTAAATATAAATAAATGAATATATTATATGAATATATATAATATATATTTTTATATATTTTATATTATTTTTAATATTACAATTATTAATATTATTTTTATTTAATAATATAATAATTATTTAATATAATATTATTAAAGTATTTATAAATTCATTAAATATTATTTATTTATAAATTTATTATATTTGGTTATTATTTCAAAAACAAAATTTTTAAAATTTTTTTTTATTATAAATTTTCAATTTGTATTATTATTTTTTATTATTTTAATTACTATTGTTTATTATGTTTATAATTTTAATTTCATTTACATTTTTTTTTTATTTAAAATTACATTATTTATAAATTTATTAAATATTATATTTTGTTATTTTTTATGAATATTATATTATTTTAAAAATTTATTAAATATTATATTTGGTTATTATTTCAAAAACAAAATTTTTGAAATATTTTTTTATTATAAATTTTTAATTTGTATTATTATTTTTTTATTATTTTAATTAGTATTGTTAATTAAATATTTTTAATATATTATTTAATTATCAAGTGTTTAATAAATATTTTTAAATACTATATTATTTTAATTATGTATGAATTGTTTTTATGTTTCAATTATTATTATATAAATTTATTAAAATATATATATTTTATATTTATAATTATTATTTTAATATTTTTAAAATATATATAAGTTTTATATTTATTTTATTATATTTCAAATAATAAATTAACAAATGACCTCAAGCTCAACTAATCTTTTTATTTGATTTTTTATTTTAATGTAATTTAATTTTATCGTAACATATTTTTTTGTTAACCCTTAAAAAATTTAATGGAAGAATGTCAACGATTTTGAAAAGTTGTTCAATATTCCTTAAGGTAACTTGGTGTGAAGTTATACCAAATTATCTAGACTGATTTTTTTATTTAATCGAATATGGCAGGATTTAATATGATGTGGAAAAACATCACAGCGAAAGCTTTAAATAATGGTCTTGTTTTAAAGATTTTAAATATTTTTCAGGGAACCAAATTCCGCTATGCAAACTAAATTCGAATTTAATTTAAATATTAGTTGGAAGTCATTGCAATGGAAAGGAAAATAAAAAAATAAGACATTCTATTTTGAAACAGGAAACAAAATATACAACTGAATAGCAAATAACCAATCAGGTAAGGAATTGACTGATCAACTTTTCAAAATATTTGAACAATATATTTCTTATTTTTTCCTTTATGTATACAAATATTAATTGTTATAAATATTCTATTGTATCATAAAAAAACCTCTGTAATTTTTATTATCGAAATTTTGTATTTTGCATATAAATATTATACAAATTAATTGTTCCACATTTCTTCTTTCTTAAAGTTCAATTTTCATATATTTACAATACAAATTTAAAATTTTCACATTTTTTCCCGTTACACAAAAAATATTCGACTTGTTTCTTTTAGTTGGTAAATAAATTGATTACTGGCCACAAAACAACAACTTCGCATTCATTTAAAATGGCTCTGACAAACAGTGCCAATGGAAGACTTAATTAGCGATTTGTTGTTTTACTCTACTAACAAAAAAAAAGTAGGGAATTTCGATTTTATTTTTCCAGCCAATGTACACCTACTTCCTTACTTTGTTATTTGTTTTGCCAAATAAGCATCACACTCATACACAACAATTCCAATTAGAAATTAATCCACTTAACATTTGGACCCCACAAACACCTTTTTCATTGCAAAGGGGTTGGTTGGTTGGTAGATTCGTTGAATAAAAGCCAAGTTAAAATAATGCCACGGATAGCGTGTGTATAATATTAAGGAAGCAGCAGTACAGCGCCATGTTGAAAAGGGTGGTGGTGGTGGTTTGTGTTGTTGGCTAGGAACATCTTCTTTACAAAAATTTATTATAAAAGTTTTGTGTCGGAAAAAAACTTAATTCGGCATAGTTTCTTAAACAATTTTTCTTTGTTTGAATTCTATTATATTTTTGTTTAGTTGCAGATTATATAAATGTTTATTTTTTTCATTTCGCAGATATATTTTTTCATATTCTTCTTAGCTTTTCAATGCTGCACTTTTATTCCGTTCGTTGTTTTGATTTTCCGAGTTTGCTCATCATTTTTTTTTTTATTTGTAATTTATTTAATGTGAGATTTGTAAAACCATTATATTAATATTTCAGCCCATTTTAATATTTTTATCTTTTTTAATTTTATAATTTTTTTCTTGTTTGTTTTTTTTTTCTTTTTCCTTATATCCTTTTTAACATCCTTTGCTTTTGGAAGACACTTGATAACTGAATTAGAATTTTTCCTTATATGCCAAAAATGCTCTATCTGATTCCCTGCAGCCAAAAAAACAATAAAATTGCTCTTCTGTTAAGCAACCACCCTCCTTGCCCCAGCAACACCCACCTCATAGTCTTGGTAAAGTTTGTCTCAATATCTGTGGATATCCCGAATGCTGTGCGATTTCCTTGCGTCAACTATTACACAATTCTCACACGGATACACTTGGCAAATATACATATATTGACTGTCTGTGCATGCGTTTTCTCTAGCTCTCTCAGAGAGAAATTGACAATTTTTACAGTAAGGACTTGTTTAACATTATTGCGAAATAAGTTTCAAAATTATTGTGAATTTTTGATTTTTTTGAATAAAGTAAAGTACTTGGAGATTTTTGGATTTTTTTTTTTTTTTTTTGAGAGATTGTACTTAGTTCGCTAAGAGGTTCATCAGTGACAAATCAATAAACCCAAATAACCGGAATTTATATTGGATGATGTTTATATATTGTCAGAACAACTAAAGTTGGACATAACCCACAAAGCTCTGTATTGAACATTTTGTGCGAAAAGTTATTAAATTCAAATTCGTCTTTATTTACTTTGTAATTGAAGACAAATTACAATTTAATGGCCAATTTATATTTATTAAATGATCTGCAAACCGAAATGACAAATTAAAGTAACATATCTTGGAAGGGTGGACCGATATAAACAATGGAACCTCAAAACCTCTAAGACAAATAAGTATACCCTACACAACTAAGTTGTCAGGGTATTATAGCTTTGTGCAGCCCCAAGAGTTTGTAACGCCGCGAAATATTGATTCTAGACCCACCTTTAAGTATACCGATCGGCATATCTCGACTAGCTGAGTCGATGTGTGTCCGTCCGTCATCCGAAAATATTTTGATATTTTCCATGAGGATCCAGGTATGGCCTATAATTTTCGATGATGATCAGATAATAATTTTTTTGAGTCGATCACAACATACAACACAACCCACGGTGAAGGGAATCTGGACAAGTTATTAGAAGGGCTGTACTGAATTTTAGTAATATTTGTAGACCTCTAGACGGTCAAGAGAGTGCAAATATCGTGAAATATTGCCCAAGCTCAGAACATAGAACAACAGAAATTTATATTTTCGTGGAAGTTGTGTAGTGTATCATAAGGTCGGCCCCGTCCGATTATACTGCTCCGCTCACTGTTTATTTTTTTTTTTAAGTTAAGAGATCTGACCTCTGAGAATCAGAAATCGAAAGTTAAATGACTTGAAGTAAGCGGTAAGGATTTTCAATCTAAGCTATTTGTCGACATTAGTTGTTCTAACAAAGGCTTCCTTCGATGTTATGCCCTCGAAGCCCAACTCAATCAGAAGGTGAAAGATTGCTGGGATAAAAGCGAGGAAACTTTAATAAAGACATACAAAATCATCAGTCATTTCGTCGTTGACTATAGGGTTCAAGTCATGACTTCCTTCCACACCCCCGAACCAAAATAATGCATTACCAATAATCACGAGCTATGTTGAAATATCAATCACCGATCATCTCGATGAGCTTACCAGAATGCTATAAGTCAGTTAAGCAATATGCGACATAATTTTGCGCGACCGAATTGTCAGGACTTCAGGTGTTATGGTGAAGGCATCCAAGATGTCTTTTCTCCCATTGACGACTACTGATCATTGATAGCGAACTACATAAAAGCCACTACCAACGAGTATCAGCCGCCCAGACAATTGTGTAAAATAGAAAATTTGTTCGAAACTTGATCCCTACTCGATCATGAATTATTTCATCAATGCCATATGTAACTTGCTCATAACAAGGACTCTGAACATGAGCTATGTTCAAATAGAGAGCGTCGATCACCTCTATGAGGAAATCGGAATGCTACCAGTCGCTGAAACCACAACTGACTAGGATAGCACATGAATCTTCGTGGCAAGAGTCAAGATGATTTTTATTCCATCGGATGTCAATAGATCGTCCATAAAGAAATCTATAAAAACTGTGTAATGATACACTCGGTCATCAGCGTTTTATGTAATTAGCTCATATAACAAGGACTCAGACAAGAAGTACAAATACAAGAACAGCAATAACTTATCCTAAACGTTCCGAAGTCGATTTGTCGAAAATCTATATAAAATTCCCATCGCATTTGTTTTAGTTTCAAAAGTAGTTAAAAATCCATAAACTATTGGCATCCTCGTCCAAACGGAACACCTGTTAATAGGCTTTTGGATAAGCATATCTTCAGAAAATATTCAATATGGGTCCATGTTTTTACATAGATTCCGCCACCATTTTCGGCATTTTGAAATATTTTTTTTCGCATTTTTCATCCGAAGCTTCTGTAATTTGTCATTCCCGGTTTTTGCAGAGAGAAAAGCGTCGTGCCATAAAATGTTTTCTATGGGTACATAGTTTAATATAGTCCACATATAAAGGGTCCCGGGACTTTTTTCATTATTTTGATGGATTACGCCGTATTTTTCCCCCGAATTGCCTATATTTTGAAATTCGGGATTCTTGGAAGACGAAAAACATCTTAGCAGAAAATTGTCAATATAGGTCCATGTTTTCCCATTTTTGGAATAAAAAGGGAATGTAAGTAAGGGGCTATCCGATTTTAATGAAATTTTGTACAACCTAATATCTTTACCAAGCCTAGATCAAGTAGGAAGATGGGAGCCATTGGTCCACTCCTTCTGGTACCTCCCCCACAAATGGTCAAAATTTCAATATTTGTATCAGGCGAATGGAATGAAAAGTCTAGATTAATTCCAACCAAACCTTACACAACCTATTATCTTCTTCTAAATCCATATCAAAGCCAGACATGTATTCTTTGAAATACCTTTGGAATTTTTGCTTTCGGATGATCTAGTAACCGCAAATCAGAAAAACTTTTTGTTCGTTACAAAAACAACAAAATTATGTTAATTATTTTCTTATCTTTTAAGTATTTAACACATCATAAGTTGCAATCAACGTTCATTTGTCAGTCGAAATTTAAAATTGGGTAACCACCTTTAGATAAAATTTTCCATTTACCACTGACAATCATTTCCCACAATTCACAAAAAGAAAATGTTAAACAAGTCCTCGGTGTAGTTTACATTAGCACTGACACGAAGAGACAAAACTTTCAAATTATTGATTATTCAAAATGTTTGTATGGCGTGTTGTCGAAACAAATCACACAATTGCTGCAACATCACACAATGTCCAAAAAACAAATTTTTGTATCACCTAAAAATGCAAACTCGTCGCTTGTAATGTGGAGACAACATTGCGTGAAATTTGGCAGTAAATAGTTTTGACTTGCTTCGTATATTACATAATCAAAACATGATGTTGTTCCTTCACTCTGACTTCACCAGGATAGAGGAAAACCAAAAGGGGAAAAATCATAGATGAAAAAATACAACAACAAATACTTACGCTACTCTACCAAATTCATCTTTTGGTATATCTGTCTTTCCAGTGCCCAATAATTTTTGTCGATACGAATCAACTTTGGCCTTGATTTCTTCAGGTGAAAGTCTGTAAAAAGATAGGAAATTAAATTAATTAATGGTGTATTTTAATAAAAAAAGAAACAAAAGAAAATTAGTGTAATATTTCAACATACCCTTAATATGTAAAATGTTGTTATAATATAGATTTGTAAACTTGATTTGTATTAATTAAAATTCGTTGAGATATTTTCTTGTTTTCATAAGCTAAAATATTGCTGAATACAACTTATACATTTGCCTTTTTTGTTTTGTTAATTTAAAATATATCCGTTTTATAATTTTTTTATTATATATCTAATTTTTTCAGTATTTAATTAAAAAATGATATATTATTAAATAATATTTGTTTTATGTATGTTGTGGTGTTGTACGATTGACGTTCTCTTCAATAGTGAGGTGTGTTGACAATTTTATGTACAATATGTGTGATTTTTTCTATTCTTCTTCTGATTTTGTCAAAGTCCGTTCGTAAACTGCTGCTGCTGTTGTCAGTTCACAAGGAGAGTTAAGTTGAAAATGTACACAGAAATTGCACTATATCCATCCACCCTTTGCAACTTAACTACAACAACAACTACAACAACACTGTTATTGCAGGTTTCCTCCCGTTTGTTTTCTTCGTTCATTCCAACATTTTACTTTAGTTTGAGGGTTGAAAAGCGAATAGTGGTGTAGTTAGAGCGAGCCATGGAAAATCAAATGTTAACACAATGACCGGAAGAGTACAATGTTTACTGTTATGATGGAAAATGCCAACAACAACAACAAGAACTAATGAGAGAGAGAAGAGCTTATTTTGGTGGTTATTGATAGCAGCAGTAAATAGGAGATTCGAGTGGGAGAGTAACATATCGTAAACACACCAACACGAGAGAATGCATGTTATTAGAGCCCAGCCACCCCATCGTCGCTCCTAATGGGGTTGGTAGTAATTTTTATTCTTAAATTACAAGATATGTTACTAAGAAGAAGAAGTCCTACAACAAAATAACAGCACACACTCACAGGTATTCTCATTTAATTGACATTGATGTAGGTAGTATTGGTGGTCTCAAGAACACACATCACTTTGAATTGTGATGACATTTTCATTTTATTTTATTGTTTAGTATGCAATTAATGTAATTAAGAACTATATGTGTTTATGTGATTTAATTTTATTGCATACAGGGAAATTACAATGTTGAAACAAATTCTCTTATTACTTGATAAGCAATAGTTTGTGAGAACGACATAAATGTTATATGTCCTTCGACTAAATTTGGCCCAAATTCCAAATAAAACCAAAGGGGGAAGGGTAAATAGTTGTAACTGCTATTAGTTTGGATACGGGTGCTAGGATCTTCTAAATGCCTTGGATGTCTGTGAACTTCAGATAACCCAGACAATAAAAATACCTAAAACAAGGATTACATCCTTATATGGAGCTATAACAGAACTTTGATCTTCATTAAGAAATTTCCTCAACGAGCTATTTATTCTCGGACAAACTAAAATACCCTCAAAAAAACTGTAATGTGGCTATAAAACTGACAAATTTTATATAAAGGGAACTCCCTTCATTAACGGTTTAAAAAAAATCGATTTTTAAACCCTCTGCCTTATGCTTAATTAGGGAAAATACACTTTGCTACGGTAAAAATGTGCCTCATCGTAATCAAGGTTTATACATAAGGTTAACAGGCAGGCAGGCGAATTTATGGCTTAGTCTTCTCTTGCTATCAACATTTTAATCGCGAAATACCAATTAGAACAGGAAAAAAATTAAAAATATCTTTCAGGAAAACGTAATGATAGTAATGTGCATATATATTTTGGTTCGAATAAAAATATTTTTTTATATATTTAATCTTCAAATAATAAATTTGACAGTCAACAACAACGAATTCGCTTCCATTTTAACCTTATGAATAAACCTTGATCGTGATATTTATTTTTGGCTCCAGGTTTCTTTGGACCAACTTTTGAGTCGATTTACAAATGTCCGTCCGTTTGACTGGCTGGTATGCACGACAACTATCGAAGGTGGTTAACGAATTCATCCAAACTTAGTTTAAGTTCGAAGGTGTGGGAATATTGGTCCACTCCTTCTGGTATCTCCCCCACAAAATGATATAAATATTGCAGAAAATAAATTTTATAATATCATGCGAATGGACTATCTGATTTGAACCACACTTTGCACAACCTTTTATCATTACCAAGCCTAGAATGCTTCCAAAGATGGGACCCATTAGTCCAATCCTTCTGGTACCTCCCACACAAAGTCAGAATTTTCAATATTTATAAATCCAATATAAAGCCAATGGGATGTCCGATTTTATCCCAATTCTGCACATCGTTAAATTTCCTTCAGACATAAATTAAGTTCGAAGATGGGAAAATCGGTCCACTCCTTTTGGTACCTTCCACACGAAATGACCAAAATTGTGCTGGAAAAACCAAATTTTGCACATCCTAATATTTTAATCTTGCCTGTATATTGTTGGGAGATGGGACTTATCGGCCCACTCATTTGTAGCAACCCCACAAAGGGTCAAAACATTGAAAATATATATGATACAAACAGATTGTCCACATATCATCCGAACTTTGCACATCGCAATATTTTTGCCTAGCCTAGATCGAATAAGATGGGACTCGTCAGCCCACTTCTGACATCTCCCGCACAAGGGTCAACATATTTTACATTCGTAATATTTCTTTCAAACGTAAATCAAATTCGAAGATGGGACCTATCGCTGCATTCCCTCTAGTACGACCAAAAAAATTGTTCAAAATTTCCTTTTAAAAAAAAAAAAAAAATTTGTATTATTCGAACATATTAGGCGATTTGAACTAAACTTTTCACAAACTAATGTTTTAACCATGCTTGTATAATGCTGAAAGATGGGACTTATCGGTCCAGAGGTACCAGAAGTCAAGGCCTACGGGTACCCGGTTATATCCGGTTCTACAGATTAATTTAAAATGGACATCACTTTAAAGCTTATAAAAATACCTTTCCATTGAGTGGTGACAGAATTTCCTTGTTTTTATAGGGTCCTAAGGCCCAAATATTTTTATCCACAATAGATATAACCACATATCGCGCCATTTTGGAAAGGGCAAATTGTAGTCTATCATTTGAGTCGGGATTGGAGAGGGACCATAATATACACAAGTTCGACTATTTAGGGGTTTTTCAAAAATGAATCGGGGTCCAAAACCAGTTTGTTATTGTATCTTCAAAGATAATGGATAGGTAGTATTTTTATACAGTATTTTTCGGTTAATTGAACCTACGGTTAATTGGTTTCCACGCTTAATTGAACCATATGATGGGTCAAAAATATTTCATTTCATAGTAAGCGGGTTCGGATAATTGGTTCCTCGGTTAATTGAACAAAAATTTGTGCAAATTTTGATGTGCAATTAACCGAAAAATACTGTAATAAGCGGATCCGTAGAAATGGATATAACCGGGTACCCATACCCGAACTTCCGGGTCAAATAACCGGGTAGGTCCCCCAAGAAAAAAATATATCCCCATAATTAGGGTAAAAATACCTAACTCCGGAAAAATTTCAGAAAAATCTGATCGTTTTTACTAAACTAGAGTTGTTCCACGAAGTCTTATTTACAACTTCCAATAAGAATTTATTAGAAATCCTAAAAATTATATGATAAAAAATATACACTTAATCTCTGGTAAAAATATTTAAAAATAAACCAAATATTATATTCCTATGGAACTAGGAAACCTATAACTACATTTTCAATTTTATTTTAAAAGTTAGCTAGCTAGTGCCCTCCCAGTATCAAAAGCTAGGATTTTGTAAGATCCCCACTTAATAACTTATGGTTATAAACTCTACTTACCCTTGATTTTCTAAAATCTCCTCAAATTCCAAACATTTCACTTCAATTTTGCGTTTACGGTCATGATCCAGGATCTCCTTATTTGGTGGTCGATTTAATGTTGCATCCAATTTCTTGATATCCTCTTCGGAACGATAATTGGAATTGTCCTTCTTACCGGGTCGCACGAATGCCCAATTACGCTGGACATGACCATTGGTGCCAGAACCACGAGGTGTGGTTAAACCAATGCCATTATACATGGCTGCTGTTGTGTTCTGTGTTTCTAAACGTTTACTCTTAAAAGATTATTTCCTTAGCGTCGTCTTCGCTGTCGCCACTGCCAGCCACCTCCAATTTACAAACAACCAACCACACACAATTCAAAGAGCTACACGAGAAATACGAATAGAACAAATAATTGAGATAAAATATTTTTGGTATTATGACATTTTCACACCGACATACATTTGAATTTGTTGGTGTTCGTCTTTGTGTTGATATTTTTGTTGTTAAATTTATAAAAATTGTCCTGCTTCAGCCATTAAAATGCACACAAAACAAAACTTTTGCAATTTCACCGAGAAAATGTGTGTGCTTCTTGAAATATATCGATTATTGATCTTATCGGTTTGTTATCGATTGCATTTGCAGGATTGTATTTCACAACATATGAGGGCATCTGTGTTATTTTATTAACCTAGTACACATTATCAAACAATAGTCACTACACCGTTTGCATCTACTCTTTGAATCTACTAGATTTTACTATTTTCTTCGATATCATAAAGGAGAATTCGTTATCGTAGTAAAAAGTAGTAGATTCTTGCAGTACGTAGTAAAAATTTGTTGTTGATTTGTGTTTATGGGCCTGGATCCCGAAAGTAAGTTCCTGCATTATTATTAATTCCAGTGAATATCATTAACTATTTCCAAAAGTGATCTGAAGGAATTAAGTCTGCAATGCGGTACCACATAAGTAATGAAGTTATTTTGCAAGAAACCATGTTCGAAGAATGTCGATTCACTCCTTCTCTTACCAAGTTTATATCAAGTCTGAAAGAATATATATATATATATATATATATATGTCGGTAACACCAACTGCCACTTTCTACTTCTTTTATTTTATTTGTTATACTTTTGTTTCAACATGGTTGTTAAAAGTGTAAATTTCAATTACAAATAAATATTTGGTGGTGTTATCATTTTATTTGATTTTCTCCTCATCTCATCCACTTCCTGTGTTGTCCGGGAATACATTTTCTGAGGTTTATTACTCTCTATCATTCTTTTTCGAATTCAATAAATGGTCTGTTCCCGTACTGATTTAATTATTTTCTTCGATAACATAGTAAAAAGTAGTAGATTCTTGCAGTACGGGAGCAGACCAAAATTTAAAACAAAACATAAATAAACATTTTTGTATTATTGGTATTCAATACAGTAGATATCGGATATAAGAAACTTTAAAAAACCCGGCGATTTCTTTCTTATATGCTTTTTTTCTTATATGGAATTATCAGATATAAGAAAGTTGTTTCTTATTTGCATACATCAGATCACAGTTTGACTAAAAATAGGTGTCTGTTGGTCTGTTCCCGTACTGCAAGAATCTACTACTTTTTACTACGATAACGAATTTTCCTTTATAATATCAAAGAAAATAGTAAAATCGAGTAGATTCTTGCAGTACGGGAACAGACCATATGTTTCTATTCATATAAATAACATTCTTTCAAAAACAATTAAAATTTTTTTTAAAACATTTTCAATGTTAATAAATTGGCCAACAATCTTACATATTTTCTTATATGAAACGTTTTCTAATACCTATGTCAGCTTTGGTGTTTGACAAATATTTCTTATATCAGTGTTTTTCTTATACTCGCTTTTCTTATATGAAGCAACATTTACACTGATGAGATGTAAAAAGGCTCGGTGTTTTTGATAATCTTTCTTATATGCGATTTTTTCTTATATGAGGTGTGCTTATATCCGATATCTAATGTAATAACAACAACATTCATGTCAAGGCCTATATAAGGTCGGCCAGTAAGCATAGGTGAGTATAAAGTTTGCTGTCAAATCATATTTTGAAACCTATACATACATACAAAATTATGTTAGACGTCAAAACGAAAATAATAATATTTTGTCAACATTCAATTCAATTTTAATTTATATCGTCTTTGTGAAGCACATTTGGACTATTTCAAGAGTTTAAAGAAGATTTTCAAGTAAATTATTCTACAAATTATAAATTGTGTTGTGTATTGGCTGTGTTTTTTGTTTAAAGGCGTTAAACTTAAGTTTTCTCTATGAATTCACTTACTGGCCGACCTTATATAGGCCTTGATTCATTTTGAGTAGATTCATGGTTGTATTTATTTGACAGGCTCAGGTACAAAAAGCGCACTACTTAATACGAATTTTTGACATGAAACTACCTTTATTATTTTGCCATGATTAAAAATAAAAATTCGTTTATCCCGCTTTAATAACAAGAAAATAAATATTCATGTTAGCCAGTGTGTACTGCACTTTAATGTATATACCTATCAAAGCTTTCGATAACGATAACATAACAATCAATTTGTACCGTTATGTTCTTCTTCTTCATTAAAGAGTTTCCTTTCGTTTTAATTGTTGCGTCTGTAAAATATTCGTTCGGTTTCCTTTTATTTCGCGCTTAAATTATGCTTGCTTAATTAATCGAGTGCAAAATCTATATTGTGAAGTGTTTTATATATTCGGAAATGTGTTTATTAAATCAAATTGGAAAATAGCCTTGTGAAAAAAGAATAAAGTTGTACATAAAATCGTCTGAATGACTTGTGTTTTAGAAGACTAATATCGAAAGGATGTATTTTGAATAAGTAAAATTGGCGTATTTCAGTTGTTCAATTTTTAATAATAATGAAGGCAACATGACATATGACATGACACAGGTATGTACTGCAACAAATTTTTTTATAAAGAATTATTATACCCTTAACCCGAATAGTGCTGTAATTATTTTTTTTCGAATTGTGGGACGAAGCTTTCAGCGTCTCTATATTGTGGGTCACTGAATCCAAAAATTTGATTTGTATCCTTTTTTCTTATCAGGATAATCGACAGGATCAATTTTTGGGCTGTGACCCTATGTTCACACTAGTACTGCTCGGGTACAAGTTGTTTAGATGATTTATTGAACGTCTTATGAGTGTGACCATATGGTCACGCCAGCCAGCTCGGGTTAATGGTCCCATAACCTATACATCATGCCCATACACTATATCATATCTTGTACATCTCATATGGAGACAACTGAATATCCAATTTCATAAAAAAAATTGAACAACATAATATTTTACCATACTTATATTACGTTCAAAAATAGAACCCGTCGGTCCACTTCTTCTGACAAAAACCATCGGGACTGACAGCTAAACATCAAATACCAATCTACTGACACTAAGGATGGAAAGCTGTACTAGGACCTTGAACATATCGAAAATTCGTTATATGGGGGCTATATTAAACCATAGGCCGTATAAGATCACTTTTGGTAGGAAGAAATCAAAATCAAAACCAGTAAGGAAAGTTCAGAAGTCCGACTATATGACACCCTTCATCACATTCGGTACATACAAAATATGTTAATATATACAATATCCTGTAGATAGAACAGACATAGAATCTTTTGAGGACCATTGAAATGGAATCGGACGAAATTAACTACGTCAAGATATTTGAACTAAATTTAAACAACCCATACACATACTGATCGATTTCAACAAAACCCGGCATATAAATCTAGACCTAATTCACTACTCTGTGCAAAATTTTGTCTTAATCGGACCAATATTGGGAGTTTGGGGCACCATATTCAAAAAAATCGAGCGAAACTATATATGGGAACTATATCTAAACCGATTTCAACAGTACTTTGCATACATCAATCTGGACCTAATTCAGTACTCCGAACAAATTTTTTTCTCAGTCGGACCAATATTGGGATTTTGGTGCACCATTTATTAAAATCGGACAAAACTATATATGGGAGCTATATCTGAATCTGTGCCGATTTCATCAAAACTTGACATATATCAATCTGGGAATAATTCACTACTCTACTCTGTTTAAAATTTTGTCTCAATCGTACAAATATTGGGAGTTTGGTGCACCATTTACAAAAAATCGGACCAACTATATATGGGAACTATATCTAAATCTGAACCGATTTCAACAGAACTTTGCATACATCAAACCGGACCTAATTCAGTGAGCGGAGCAGTATAGTCGGACGGGGCCGACCATACGATACCCTACACAACTACCACGGAACTCTAAATTTCTGCGGATGTTTATTTCGAGCCTGGCAATATTTCGTGATTCACCGATAAGCATCAACAGCATCCTTTCTTTACACTGACATATTTTCCGAATACTCCGCACAGCCCTTCTAATTACTTGTCAAGTGTAACTCTCACATCCGAGTACATACGACAATATAATTGGTATCAAATTAAAGGTCAATCACTCCTCTTGGATATACTATCAACTTCTCGGGTCTATATCCTTCAGGGGTAAATATATACGCCATAGAATAAAAATTTTGTCATTTTTTTTGTCATTTTTCACACAAAAGTCAGGGTCCATTTGACCCACTAAATATTGACCGATCTTTATCAAAACAGTCATGCTTATTCTTTGGCCCGATCCCCTTCTCCGTGTAATGTTTGGGCCATAACTGCGGCCTCTGGAGCGACCAGAAAATCAGGCAAGAATAAAGTTCTTGGTCCATTTCATCCCCTAAATATTTGCCAGAGCCCATCCTACATGCAAAATTTCGTGAAGATTGGTCCATAACTGTGGTCTGTATCGTGTTTACAAATTATAATGGACAGACGGACGGACGGACACACATGTCTATATAGACTCAGGTATGACGATCGGTATACTTAAAGGTGGGTCTATGACCAATATTTCGCGGCGTTACAAACTCTTGGGGCTGCACAAAGCTATAATACCCTGACAACATAGTTATGTAGGGGATAACTATAAATATTTATATACATCTTTGTGTAGCCCCCATATAAAGGAACTCTGATTTTCAGCATTTTAGCGTGCTTTGGCACATTTTCTAACCGTAATGGTTGTAAATTGGTATTTACTCTTACTAAAGTGTATCAATATCGGTCTACTTTTAGGGGTAGCCCCCATATAATAGTATCCCCCAACCCCAAATATCCTCATTTTGGACAGGTTTTTCTTTCGAATTGGCTGTAATTTGGTATGTAGGGAATTAAATCAGCCCACCAAAAAGTATAGAATCATCATACTAACTTTAGAGCGTTTCGAAATACAAAACTAAAAGTTCAAATTCGGAAATGTGCTATAACGATCTACGTTTAGGCATAGCCCCTTTATAATGATTCATCCTAATTTTCAGTATTTCAAATATTTAAGCGTGTGTGTAGTATGGAGATACAAAACTTAAAGGTTCGGTTCGAAAATGAGTTATATGGGGTCATATTTAGGCAAAGCTCCCCCTACATAGATACCTTCCGATTTTCGGTATTTCCTACCAGCGGTCTTCAATATTGGTTTTTGAGAACAACACCAGATAGTTCAGAAATAAAACAAAATCTTTTTATTTTTAAAACACATTGGTTTATTGAATTTCAGTATTTTCTTTTCATTAAAAAAGTTTAATGAAACCTAATTTAAATACAAAATAATTTGAACATCGTTGGTCATCACCATCCACTGTGGGGCATCATCTGCAAAATAGAGAAAACATTTTATTAGAAACTGATACAAAATAAAAATATATTTCAGTTTTTAAAAATTGATCAGTTATGAATGTTATTTTCATGTTTTTAAATGGATCAATGAGATTCCTACATAAATATCATCATTTTGAAAATAAAAAACAAATACAAAAATAATTAAAAAATGCTTACCTTCTTTGAGTTATTAAAGTAGACATAAAACCTCGCCGTATTAGTTTGATTTTCCATCTGAAAATGAAAATTAGATAAATTTATTAGTTATATACTTCTTATGTGATATATACATTTTTGAACATTTGAAATTATCGATCAGTTATGAAAGTTCTTTTCATGTTTTTAAATGGATCAATGAGATTCCTACATAAATATCATCATTTGGACTAAAATTAATTGAATATATAAAAAATCGAAATGCTTACCTTTTATAGGGGTTTATCAATCAATTTACGTGAGGGTAAATGCTTTGTAAAGCTAAAAATGAAAAAAAGAAGAAATACAAAATTAATGTGGGATTTCTAAATGGAAGTTATTTGTAATAAAATTACAAATTTGATCAGTTTTAAAAAAGTTGTTTTCATATTTTTGAAATCAATGAGATTCCTACTAAATATATCATCATTTGAATACATTTTCAAGTAACAAAATCAAAATATGAATATTAAAATAATTATATTTCACAATATAAAACAATGGGAAAACATTTTTTAAGGAAAGCAAACATATCTTTTTGAAAAGAATTGCAATTGAGACGATCAAGGAAACTTGTGAGCCCCATTTGTTTTACACTGTGATACAAATAATGAGAAAAAATGTTTCTTTATAGATTGCATTCTATAAAGAAATATTTTATATTTTTTTATACTTTAAAAATGTGTGTTAATAATTACCTTTCATTTAGAAGGGTGTACGACACAGAACTCTCCATTTTCTTCCTTCGTCATATTCTCTAAAAAATCTGAAAGAGAAAAAAAAACCTGCAAAGAAACAAAATGTTCCCTAGGCTCGAAAAATTCTAAAGGGATTCTTCTCAAGAAATCCAACAATTAAAAAAATAATAAAACCCATTCTTTTAAGTTTTTACACAATGTTTGTTTACGTTGGTTGTATTTTTTGTTGGTTCTCATCAGGCAAAACTTTTCTTTTTTTATATTTTATATTATATATTTGTTGGTTCTTTCTTTTTAATGTAAATTCTTTCTATTTAAATATAGAAAATAGGTTTTTTGTTGTGTGTGTGTAATTATCCTCAATAATAACAAAGATAGCATATATAAAGGAGCAGTTTATATGATGCCGATCTTGTTGGCGATGTCAAGAGCATCGTAGTCACGAGCCAAACGAACGTAGGCCTTCTTCTTGCCATCGGGCCTGACCAAGATGTTGACCTTGGCTACCTTAATGTCGTACAATTTACGAGCGGCAGCACGAATGTGGTTCTTGTTGGCATTCAAGTGAGTCAAGAAGACCAAGGTGTTGTTGTCTTCGATCTTCTTCATGGCGGCTTCAGTGGTCAAGGGGTACTTGATGATGTTGTAAGCATCCATGCTGGAAAAGGATGAAATGAAAATTATTAAAATGAAGAAACATTTTAATACAAATGGAAATTGGCAATGGCTCAGAGTAAAAAAATATGGGATATTCAAAACTATAGCTATGTGGCTTGAGAGAATGCTATTAAGGCCCTCTGAAAATAGATTTTTACATAAAACATTGGGACTTATAATGAATTATTTTTATAAAGAAAACAGAGAACTCAATTCTGTTGTGGTACTAATTGAAAATTTCTGTCTGGAGGTTTACTTATTCTCTGAGAAAAAGTTATTCATGACTAAAAGCATTTTGAATAATAAATTCACACCCATAATGAGGAGTCTAGTTAATAACGGACATGGAAGGTCATGTGTCTGTAAAAATTCATAACTCAGTCATAAATATATTTCTACCGGAATTTTTTTCTGATCAAGTATGATTAAACCCTGTCTCCGATAGATATTTCAATGAGTATTTATCGTATTGCAACAATTACAAATATATATCTGAGCTGATCCTTATCTAGATGAGGCAATGGTAAACAAACCAATTTTTATAAACAAAAATATGAAGTTAGGTTATGTTTACCCTCCTCTAAGGCCTCATATCTAGATCTAAAAAACCTCTATAATTTTATTCAACTTACCGATTCCTGGTGGGGACACACTTGCGTGGGTATTTGGGGTTGCGTGGCAACTTCAAGGTCTTGGGACGACGGAAGTGGACATTGGTACGGACCTTGCGGGTACGAGTACCGAAAGCACCCTTGATGACCTATAAAAAAACAACACACACACACAATTAGTAAACTCACCAATTTACGTTTCATGTTAATTTTCTTTTTTTTTTCTTTCGAACACTCACCTTGGTTTGGGCCTTCTTGGCCTTCAACAAAGCAACAGCCTTAGCCTTGGAGGTACCCTTGGTAACCTTGGAGCCGGGTTTGGCGGCTACCTTCTTGCCCTTGGCAGCAGCACGAGCCTTGGCGGACAATTTAGCCAAAACAGATTGGGGCTTCTTGCCAGCGGCAGCCTTCTTCTTGGCATCCTTGGTCTTGGGCTTGGCCTTGGAGGCAACCTTCTTGGTGGGGGCAGCCTTCTTGGTTACAGGCTTCTTAGTGGCAGCAGCTGCGGGTTTCTTGGCAGCTGGAGCGGCCTTTTTGGCGGCAGGAGCAGCAGCCTTGGCTGTTGTTTCCTTCTTGGCACCGGAAGTGGCAGCAGTAGTTGCCTTCTTCTCGGGCTTCTTGTCGCCAGACTTAGCGCCTAAAATAAACAGTAAACAACAAAGCCATTAGTAATCACATTCTCAAAATCATCCATTCATTTATCATAACACTTTCATGCGGCAGAAAAATCCAAAAAATCACATTTGAGGTTATGTCAAAACATTTCCATAAACAAAAGAACTTGGCAACAAGTCATCGCATTTACAGATCACAAATAAATTCCAAACAACTTCATACCCATGAAATAGGTCAAAGACTTCATCAAACATTTAGTTCCATAATTATTTCAAGCAAATTCATTCATGTTATTTGTTGTTTTTCTTTTCCATCTTTCCATGCAACACACTACAATCCAACACACAAACATATTGCCAGCAGGCAATCATCAAAACGCGAAGTACGACCGACCACGAGGTATTCACCAATGTTTACCATTTTTTATCGGATTTTTCACATTTCCAATTAAAATATTTATTCAATTTATTTCGTATACAATTCCTTGCACTGCGCCACATTATTTGTTGAAATTTTTTGGATTTTTCACCGTCATTTTCTATGAAAAATTCTTACCGGATTTCTCGGTTGGCTTTTTGGGTGGCATTTCTACGAGAAAAAGAAATGAAAAGGAAAATTTTTTGTCTTTTTCAATCGGGCGGAAGTTCTTGTTCGAAAATTCGATAATCGAAATTTCGAAAATATGGCGATTTTTGGGAAGTGTTTGGAATTTAGGGTTGTATTTGGTCGTAAATTGTTGCCACTTGACAGAGTTGTATGGGTGATGGGTTGAATTGAACAGATGTTTAAGTTGAACAATTTGTTGTACAACATTTTGGCAATTGAGGGAAATGTGTGTTCGAAAATAATTGCAGAGTTGAGAAATTTGTTAAATGAAATAACAAAAATGGAATGGACGGAGAACGGATGAATTTAGAATTTTTATTTTAAAGAGAGGCATTAAGAGTAATTGGAAATTAATAGTAGAACTGTATTTGTAAAGTTCGGTATCCAATGTTTTCTATTCTGTTTTGTTTTCTTTTTGTATTAAAAAAATATATATATAAAAAATTTACATTACTGCTGGGTTGTTTCGTATTGCAAATGCGGCATATAGGTCTACGTTTTGGTATGTCCCATTTTTAGGGTCCCGACACAGTTTTGATATTTTGAAGGTTTTAGCCGCATTTTCAAACGCAGTGTCTATAAATTGGCAAATTGTGGTCGTGGAGGACATAAAAAAAGAAACAGTTTGCAAAGAAATACTTACAGAAAATGTTTGATATAGATCTATAGACGACATAGAGGGGATGTAGTGTGGCATTGCGTGTTCAGGGATGGTGGTTTTTATCATAGCCTCATATAAAGGCCCCACCCTATTTTCAGTATTTTGAAGAGTTTGACTGCATTCCCTCCGTAATTTGGGATGGTGAGCAACATTTTTGCAGAAAATGTTCCATAAAGGTCCATGTTTGAGCAACATTTTTGCAGAAAATGTTCCATAAAGGTCCATGTTTTGATGTAGTCCCCATGAAAGTATTACCGAATGGTGAAGTCATTTCCACAGAAGGTCTTGGCTGCATTTCTCCACCAAATTGCCTGTTATTTGAGATTCCGGATTCTTGGTGGGTGTTACACAACTTACCTATGTGTCAGGTTGAAACAGCATTCACATTAGAATTTTTTATCGCGTTAGCCTACATTATGAGGATTTATTTGGCATGTCTACAATGGAAGTAACAATTCAAAAGCACTGGGTTAACGAAACCCGGTGTAATGTAAACGTACTATAATATGATTACCATTAATGCGTATATAATTATATATCATAAACGATGACATTTTTCGACCAATTGATTAAGTTAAAGAAACATAGGGCCGTGATACAATAGAACAAGGTTTCGTCTCACCTCTAACAATTGAGAGCATTTATCGAAAATACACCATAGAGCATGTATGGCTGCATTTGAAGTAGTTCAGTAATTTTGTGTCATTTCAAATGTTTCAAATTTTTATTTTCAACTGTGTGTTACAATTTCGAAACGCACCCACAGTCCATGGGACCTATTTTGGGCACTGCTGGCATAACAAGAAACAAAAAGTTTGAAAAAATAAACTCCAATGACATGAATTATGAATAGTATTCAAGTACATAATTATGAGAGCAAACAACTTTCGTCGATAATAAAACTTGTTTTATTATCAAAAATCCCAAATTGCAAAAAATAAAATTACACATTCCTGAACATTATTCCCTTAGGACAGTCGGAATCCAAGGCTTACAAAAGCTAAACAGTGGCATGAGAAATGTTTCAATGATATGCACCTAAGGTTTTCCAAGCACCCAATCAATTCTAAATGTGCCTGCATGCTGAGATGTCCTGTCAGTCTGCTAATATCCTTTTTTAAGAATCAAAAAATTTCTTTGCATGCTTTCTAGTTCCTTGTTATTATTGAAATAAAACTTTATTTCATAAAAATAATTTTGAGAACATCGGTTCAGATTTAGATATAGCTCCCATATATAGCTTCGCCCGATTTTAGGTAAATAGTCCACTAAAGTCCCTGGAAATCTTTTGACTTGCACGAATTTTGGCACAGCGTAATGAATATGGTCTAGAATGATGTTTGCCAAGTTCCGTCAAAATCGGTTCAGATTTAGATATAGCTCCCATATATATCTTCGTCCGATTTAAGGTAAATTATGTACCAAAGTCCCTATATATGTTTCGATTTGCACGAAATTTGGCACAGCGTACTAAATTAAGTCTAAAATGATGTGTGCAAACTTTCGTGAAAGTCGGTTCAGATTTAGATATAGCTCCTATATATAGCTTCGCCCGATTTTAGGTAAATAGACCACTAAAGTCCCTGGAAATCTTTTGATTTGCCACATATTAATGAATAAGATCGAGAATGATGTCTGCCAAGTTCCGTGAAAACCGATTCAGATTTAGAAATACACGAATTTTGGCATAGCGTACTGAATTAAGAATGATGTGTACAAAGTTTCGTGAAAATCGGCTCAGATTTATATATAGCTCCCATATATATTTTCATCCGAATTTAGGTAATTGGTGCACCAAAGTCTCTGAAAATTGTTTGATTTGCACGAAATTTGTCATAGCGTATTGAGTTAAGGCTAGAATGACGTGTGCTAAGTTTCGTGAAAATCGGTTCTGATTTAGATATAGCTCCCATATATATTTTCGTCCGATTTTATGTAATTAGTGCACCAAAGGTATAGGGCACTGAATTAAGTCTAGAATGATGTTGCTAAGCTTCGTGAAAAGATCCATAGCTAGGCCGATTGACACAACGTACTGATATAATATAAATAAGTCTCTGGTAAGTTGCCCCGAAATCGGTTCAGATATAGGAAGGGTATCATATAGTCGGTCCAGTCCGACTTTACCTATTTTCCTTACTGGTTTATTCATATATTTGAATAATAAAATATAGGTATTAGATTTTTAACACGTATCTGTGAAACTAATTATGTGGTTGAAGGTACCCAGTAGAAAATACTCGTTGACGAATTCTTCACACAAGTTTCGCAGTATTCGTGCACGACGACTTGGGCGACAGGGTAAGCGATATTGTCGTTGACGACAACTTCGGCGAATAAACTCCCTACTTTTTGTTAACGACAGATTCACTGTCGGTTGTGCAGCCGTTGATGACTGTATACATATTGTCATCAATTCTACCCCATTTAAAATGCAAATAAAAATATATATACATTTTACATATATATTTTCTATAACATGAACTTTATTATATTGCAAAAACATACCTTATATTTACATAATATCATATAATATGTTGGCGTAATGATAATTTCCATTTTAATATCATCTGTACAGAAACAACAAAATTGAAACGCATGAAATATAAAACATCTTTCAGATATTACTTACAATATTTCACCAATTGTCATTTATTTGCCCCATCTTAAGAGTAAATCAATGTATTTAAATAATGATATATATAATTATATATTCAGTAAAACTTACCTATTTTAACCAAGAAAACACGTCATCTTTATCCAAAATTTTTTATATATATTTTCAGAAAGCATTTTCAGCTTGTTTCTGTTTCTGTCAATATTTCATAGTACACTCGATTCAGACTATTTTTGTTTTGTTTTCATATTTCGAGAAGAACGACATTTTCGACGACATATAATGTGTTTTGTCATGAATGACAATTCCATAAAGAGTATTTTCTACTGGGATGTTAACAAATCCATTTTTTTACAGGAGTTTACTGGGCATGTTCAAAGGTGCCCCACCTGTGGCATTTTACGGAAATTTATAATATATTTTTTAGTAGGTAATATACATGGTACAATAATACAAGTAGGGCAGCTTGAGGTGAATAACAAAAAAGCAATTATGCACGTGTGGCTTCTTCTGCCAAAAATAAAATTAATGTACGCAACAAGTAAAAATAAATGAAAGGTTATGATTTCTTCCCAAAATCCAGTAGGGAATACCATTAAATATTTTTTTCATCCATAATAAAGTAATCACTTCCAGACGAACCGGTTAAACACATTCTGTCTGTACTTTTTTAATAGTAAATCTAGTAAAAAGGAAACATTTCAAAATTGGTCTCAAAATAATTTGAAAAGTTCGGGAACGAGAATCTAGTAAATATGCCAAAATTAGATGGCAATACTTCAAAATCAACATATCAACATTGCCATCTAATTTTGGCAAAATTTAGTAAATATGCCAAAATTAGATGGCAATACTTCAAAATCTACATATCAGCCAATCAGAAGTTGGCATTCCTGTTTGCCATTTTTACTCAACCAAATTTCTCGAGTAAAAAGTTTTCAAAGAGAACGCCATTTTGTTTTGTGCTCTCTTAAATTTGAATCAATGTTTTACCAGTTTTGTGGGTTGAGGAACGGTTTTCGAGTAAAAAGTTACAAAACATGTAAAATGAGTAGATTCTTTTAGGTTCTGGAACGGAACTATTATTTTCATTTCAATTAAATTTGAATATATTTCAATTTATTTTGAATTTATTTTACATTGTATTCAAAACAATACACACACGTACACAAAATATGTATTTTGATGTGATGGAACAAGCCACCTTGAGAAAAAATTGTAATCAGTTGGTAGCTGTGCCATACCTTGTAATAATTATACCATGGTAATATATAAGAAGTAAATGCATTAGTTATGTTTGAAATTATTGTCAGAATGCTAAAAAATAATTTAACGAAATAAAACGATTAGTGAGTTCTTCCGCCATCCTTAGAACAAAAAATTAAAAATTTATAATGGCACTTCGAAAACAGTTAAAAAATGTTCACTCATCTACATTTTGTTGACAACTGAAAAAGCAATCCAAAGTTATTTACGCTGCTAGAGAACAAGATTACCATATAGAAAAATTATTGCGGGTCGGAAACATTTTAAACTGAGATTTTATGAGCGCTGTATATTAGAGCGGACCAATTTTTTTGTCGATTAAATCCAGCCCCTATGATGATTTTATGGACAATTCTGAGCAACTTTGGTGAAGGATCCATAGGTCTATCTTGATTTTCGAGCCTCCAACTTTTCAAAAAATTATATTTTCCCTATAACATCATTTTGATTCAAAATTCGATTTTTTATTCATCGTTATATTATCTTTTTTATGTGTATATGGGGGGGTTTTGGGGTCGAGAAGTTCATTTCAGATCTTTATTTTTACCTATGACC